CAGCTTTGACTGGAAAGATTTATAAACCATGTAAAATTAATTTTTTAAAAGGCTTAAATTTTGAGCAGAGTTGGGCCTGCTGACTGCTCCAACTGGGTATGCCGAATTAGGTAGAAAAAAAGAATACATGGAAACAAGCAACCCCAGTGAAAATTTGGAGGAGTAAGGAACTCCTCCAAAGTTCCTGAGTAACTTCAGGAACTTTGGTCGGGGAGAAAACAAATGGTTCCTTACTATCTAACTTTTTTTTGTTGCACAGGTCTTCTTGGCAACAGCTGGAGGCGCTCCGGAAATGGATCTCAGAGTTGATGGTGACACTGATCGGTCCAGGCTGGCAATTGCTGCGAGCGGAGCAAACTTTGATAGTCTCGGTGATTTTCTCAGACCCTGGTGAAGAAGAAGTAGATAAGAGAGGTTTGGTTAAATTTGGTAACACCTTGCTGAAAATTTGTTTGATTAAATAAATGAAAGTACTGAAAGGATCGGAGCATGTACAGAGTGTAACCTAACTCAGCTTTTGATTCCCTGCACAGCTGAGCTCCAGAATGCACTACCTGCAAAAATAAAGCCTCCAGGCCAGAGATGAAATGCTCTCAGTTCGGACCAGATCACCCAATCCGTTAGTGATGGCAGCGGGTGATTCGGAGAACCGGTAGCAAAAACCCCTGTGCCCCTCCCATGCCCAGCTGAGCCGCGTAATCATCAGGCGGTTTTTTTCACTTTTAAAAGCATTTTTTCTACAACCTCTTTGGCCGAAAAAATGCTTTTAAAAGTTAAAAAAAAGCCTCTGATGATCGCGTGGCTCAGCTGGGATCGTCAGAGGCTTTTAAAAGCATTTTTTTTACAACCTCTTCAGTTGAGTGCAAGACTATCCGTTACGGTACAGGAAGAAAATAATAGCATACCTATTGTTAATTTATTTATTCCATCCTTTTAAAAAAATTCTATTTTGGGAAATATTTACATATTTGATTGAAATGGCTTCCCATCTCAGTCAGTCAATCAATCGGTTGATTTTTATTTGGTCATTAGACCAGCAGATCTGCCCATCTCAAGTTAATTGCTCTGAGTGGCTAACAATATTATATATTGATAATATATAATCTCCTGACCCCCCCCCCCCCTTGCAAAGTTTGGTGATAGAACCAGGTATCAAAGACTTTATGGAAGGCCAAACAACCCCTTCAATGGGGCCAACTGGATCTTCAAAGGGTATCATAGGGTCCAAAGGGTGGGCGGCATGTTTTATAATGGTTAAACAGTTTATTATTTTCTCTAATGTCCATACTATACTAGTAAGTAGACATGTATCAATCAATCAACATATTGAGAAGACCTCCAACATTTTAGTGATAAGGTTGCCCAGTTGAAAGTAGTTTAGTAACCATAGTTTGTTCTACGTGCTCTTCTGGGAACTTAGATCTCTTAACTCCCTCTGCTGGTTCAAAGCAAGTCTATCTATTACTCACACAAGGAATTTATTCCTACAAAGGTAAGGCAGGTATCTTCAGTCTCTCCACAGGTGCGGCTCAAGCCAGTGCAGTCTTTGCCTGGATCTTGACAGGTCTCACAGATCAAACAGGAACCTGGAGAAAACAACACAGATGAGATGTGGCTTATTCGATAAGCTACGATGGAGAAACTAGGCTTCACTGAATACATCTCATGGTGCAGAGTAGCACTTCTTAAACTTCGTGTTCTTTCCAGTTTTAAAAATTATGAAGACCTCCCCTCAAGGAGCTTTTGTTTTGCATGGGTTGCCTTTATTGATATTTACCATATGAAAATTGATGCATTTTCAGAATATTTATTGAAGCATATAAAAGCAGCAATATTTAAACCCATGAGATTTTAAATAAATAATATTTTTTCATGAAAAAAAACGATATTTTTAAACAAAAAAGAGAGAGAGAGAGAGAAGAAAAGAGTGACATTGTTTTAAATTTTTGTCAATATCTTCCCTATTTAATTTTGATTTTGGAGACCCCCGAGATGAGTTTGAGGAGCCCTCAGGGTTCATTGGACCACACTTTAAGAAACACCAGTGTGGAGAAACCGTAGGTCAGAATTTCATCAGAATGAGAAGATGTAGGAAATCCAACTACAGTTCCTGGCCTTCATCAAATAAGATTGTCTGTCTTTGGTAGCCCCTCTTGAGTCCACACTCAGAATAAAAGAGTTGGAAGGGACCTTGGAGATCTTCTAGTCCAACTCCCTGCTCAAGCAAGAGATTCTATACCACTCTAGACAAGTGTCCAGTCTCGTTTTAAAAGCCTCCAGTGATGGAGCACCCACTTCTGAAGGCAAGCCATTCCACGAGTTAATTGTTCTTACTGACAGGAAATTTCTCCTCAGTTCTAGGAGGAGAACTGAACTCTCCTTGATTAGTTTCCATCCATTGTTTCTTGTCTTGCCTTCTGGTGCTTTGGAAAATAGGTTGACCCCCTCTTCTAACCCATGGCCTCTAGAGCAAGGTAAAAATGTTCAAGGATACAAGCACATCTCCGAGAATGGATGCATCCACCTTGCCTTTAACTCTAGCTGTAAGACTGCAGTGTCCATAACTAGCTCAAAGCAAACTTACCTTGAGTTATGAGTGTGGCCAGAAGGAAGCTGAGGCTGGACAAAGATGCCATGTTGGTGAATCCCATAATCTGCAGATCCGTAGATTCTGAGGTGGAAGCATCCTGAGCGGGGGAATATATACTGGACCAGTTACATAAGGGTGAGGGAGTGAGTAAACACGATTGGCTTGAGAGGCACTTAAAACCTGCGCAGCCCCACTTGGTTCTCTTCACAGCTGATTTCCTTGTCTGCTGATGGCCTCAAGAGGCCCCTTTGTGTGCCAGGTGTCTTCGCCAAAAGGAGCACAACCAACTTCATTTTCTAAAATGTCTCTTGTGCTTGGCAAGGGAGGGAGCTAAGGTGTTGTGTTTCAATTCATGGAATATAAAAAGAAAGCCAGAGCAAGGAGGAATGCTTCCTTATCTAAAATCTAAAAGCCACTTCACATTTTGTCCAGAACAAATGACCCCATTTGCATTGGGACCAAGTCCCGGTCATCTAAATTTTCACTGTAGCTTGGCAGTGGGAAGGAGGGGGGGGACAGCCACCTGGATGCCAAGATTGCAATCATACAGAACAACCTCTTCAGATTGCCTTTATTTCCAAGAGTAACAAAATGTGTGTTTGTGTATATGTACAAGGGGGTGGAGGTTCATTGAGAATCTGGGGGCAAGCAGGCTTCTTAGCAGCAGTTCCAGGTGCTGAGAGCCTTCCTTGAAGGGTTTAGTTTTCAAGATTTTGGCCACTCTTTTGCATCCTGATGACTGGATAATTCTAGGGTTGTGGCTATGGTTATTCCCAGTTGGAAATGGCCAGTATAACCGCAGTATGATCGTCACTTTTTGCACCGGGTGTAGAGTTGCAGTCTACAAAGGACTTCTGGGTATATAAAACTTTACTGTGCTGTTAATCAAGCCTGAAACGGCTCAACAGCTAACATAGCGATTCGAACAAACTCAGTTCTCCTTAGAGAGAAATGGTAGCTAAAGAAATTCCAAGAGTATGTGAATCCGAAGAGAAGTAACACTGACTTCTGAAAAAAGATGTGTGTTTCTGGACCAGTTTTGGAGAGGAAATAATATTACTACCTGTAGCCACACCAGGCAATTAAATAGGATGCTCCTCTCAGATTTGAGCACTAATGAAAGATTGCGAAGCCCCAAAGGTCTCAGCATTAACTAAAATTCGGAAACATTATGAACTCTATATTAGGACATTTTGAGATCACAGCATCCGTTTTAAGTTATAAATTATGATATATTGGGTGAACTGGTTCACCCAATATATTAAACCCAAATAAAACAAACCAGGTTATGGATTGTTATGCTGTAACCATTTTAAAGGCAGTCTTGGGTACATCAAGAATGTAAAAATTTAGAACTTCCAAGCTATGACCTGGATTCTTCTAGGGCAGTGTTTCTCAACCTTGGAAGCTTGAAGATGGGTGGTCTTCAACTCCCAGAATCCCCCAGCCAGTCCACCCATCTTCAAGCTACCAAGGTTGAGAAACACTATTCTAGGGGGTACTGCCCCACAACTCTGGCTAAATCTATCTAGTCTGGATACTTGGAATGGGAGGGAAGGGTCAGGTTTTAAAACACTGACACCAGCTGATGTAAAACTATGGTGTCCATCATCCTTTTCCAAATCAGGCAACCTTCAGATATGTTAGATTCCAACTTCTGAAGCAACCAATACCACTTTTTAAATCCAACATTGCCAGGATCAGGATGGTGAAGCATATTATAATAAATCAATTTTCTGTCCCCGTGGCAGTTTCTCTCCATCTTTGCTGCTGGCTGGTCAATTCTGGGAGTTGATGTCCATCCATCTTAAAAGTTGCCAAGGTTGGGAAGCATTGCTCTATTATTATTTTTTTCCAGAGGAAAAATAATGCATTGCTACTTTTGTTGATGCTTTATTTTTATTTATATTTTTGTTCAAGCATATATAAGATTACAAATAAAAATATAACCATGATTATGAATACATGAAATGGATACAAATAAAAAGGGACATGCTCATTCATTTTTTATAATTTTATAATTTGCCTTTTCAGAGATAAGCTTAAGGTATTTTACTTCCTCCACACTAGAGATTTCACCAAACTTGGACACTTTGTGTGGCCTTCAAATTCCCAGAATTCCTCAAAAAGACTATGCTGGCTGAGGAATTCTGGGAACTGAAGTTCCGCGCGTCTCAAAAACGTCCAAATTTTGAAAAATCTAACCCGCGCAGAAAGGCCGGGTGGTGGTGGTGGTGGTGGGGAATAACGCATGCGCAGAAGCGAAAGATCGCGCTTCGACGCTCTAGCGTCACGATCGAAAGGCGCGAATCTGAGCATGCGCCACGAGTTTCATTTCCCTCCCGCTTCCCCCAAGTCCCTCCGCTCGCTCTAGGAAAGACGTCGATTTGAGTTTGCGCGCCGAGCGACGCCCGGGGCACACAAGTGGGAAGGGAATCATAGAGACGAGCGTCGGGAGAGGAAGGGTATAGAGCGCCCCGTTTCCGGCGCTTGGCGGAGTTTTGCTACCGGGTGACGGCGGCGGGTGACAGAAAGTGGCGGGCCATGCCGGAGATCGAGATCCGACATGTGGTCTCCGCGAGCAGCTCCGACACGGTAGCGCGGCTTCCAATGGGGATTGGCGGCGGCTTCCGCTCCGGGAGCAAGCAAGGCAGCGGAGAGATGGGCCTGTTAAGTTGTGGGGGTGGAGGCGGCCATTGTGAGGCGGCGTGGAAGGGGGGGGAGAGTCCGATACGGGGGGGGGGGGCCCTGGGAGAGCATCCAGGTGGATTCGGGGGTGGATAGAAACCGTACAGACTAGGGGTCTCCAACCTTGGCCCCTTTAAGGCTGGAGGACTTCAACTCCCAGAATGCCCCAGCCAGCAAAGCTGGCTGGGGGATTCTGGGAGTTGAAGTCCTCCAGGCTTAAAGGGGCCAAGGTTGGAGGCCCCTTTGCTGGCTGGGGAATTCTGGGAGTTGAAGTCCTCCAGGCTTAAAGGGGCCAAGGTTGGAGGCCCCTTTGCTGGCTAGGGAATTCTGGGAGTTGAAGTCCTCCAGGCTTAAAGGGGCCAAGGTTGGAGACCCCTGGTGCAGGCAATGCAGCCCTCCACTGGACAAGGCCATGACACGATATCTTTTATTTATTTTTTATTTTATTTATTTTGCCAAGCACATAAGATTACCTATAAAAGTATAAACATGATGGTTGAAACCATGAAATGTATAATAAACATGATTATGAATACATGGGATGGTTACGGATAAAAGGGGAACCTTAGGACAGGGACGGTAGGCACGCTGGTGCGCTTATGCACGCCCCTTACGGACCTGTAAGGAATAAAGTGAGCTCAACAGTAGACAGTTTGAAGGCAGAGATCTCCAAACTTGAAAACTTTTTAAGCCTTGTGGATTTCAACTCCCAGAATGGGGAATTCTGGGAGTTGTAGTCCACAAGGCTTAAAGATTCCAAGTTTGGAGTCCGCCCTGATCTAAGGTTAAAATTTTTGGGGGTTTGGGGATGAAACCACAGAGTCAGGTAGTGCATTCCAGGCGTTGACCACTCTGTTGCTGAAATCCTATTTTCTGCAGTCGAGTTTGGAGCGGTTTACCTTAAGTTTGTATCTATTGTGTGTTCCTGTATTGTGGTTGAAGCTGAAGTATTCATGGACAGGTAGGACATTGTAGCAGATAATTTTATGTACTACACTTAGGTCAGACCGAAGATGGCGAAGTTCTAAGTTGTCTAAGGCCAAAATTTCAAGTCTGGTGGCATAAGGTATTCTGTTGCGAAAGGAAGAGTGGAGGACCTAGATCTGACAAAAGCCAGAATGGCTACTTTGGGCTCCAACGTGTTGGGGGGGAACCCAGCAATGGTCGTCAGGATGGATGGGGAAAAAAACTACCATTGCCTTCTTAAGCACTAACCTGGATGATTGGGTTTCAACATCTGGGATCCCTAAGGTGCTTTTTCAAGAGAGAGGCAGCTGGACTTGACTTCTGAAGCTTTTTGGATGAGAAGCGATGGGGGAAACAAAACAGCCACTTCATAAGCGCATGGCACAAACATAGAACAAACCCATCGGGACAAGATATCGCAGTCCCATCTACAATTAAAAAGACACAGACCGCTCTTTTGAAGGCAGCAGATCCCACATTTTGGATAGAGAGGATCACTGGTTTGAAAGGGGTCAAAGAGGCCATGGGTGTCAAAATTGAACAACCCTCTCTCTCAACAGAGGGGGAGGGATATGACATCATCTATCTCCTGTCTACAATACAGTCCTTTCAGCTGTTCCAAGAAGGCTCCACGGCCATTTGCAACCTGATGACACAGATAAATCCACTCACTAAAAGGATGCAAATGACCAGCTGTCCGCAAGGTGTATAAATCCTTCCATTCCCCACCATCCAGTCAGAGCTGAAGAAGCTTCTTGGATGAGAAGTGAAACGTCTTACAAAGAAAAAACAAGCAAGTCGAGCTGCCTCTTGAAAAAGCACCTTTGCGATGAGAACTGTGACCTGGATAGACTGAGAATCTCCATAGAGGTTGAGCATCTAGGACAGTGATGGCTATCCTTTTTGCCATCGCGTGCCAGGAAGGGGGGCATGGGGGAGGTTCACACGTGCGCGCGTGCCCACACCCATAATTCTATGTGCCCCACCCTGTGCATGCGCATCCAACCTGCCCTTCCCCCCCGCCCCCGCTCCTGGCTGTTCACCGCCCTGAGTCCTTCGGGAGTAGGGCGGTATAGAAATTCAATAAAATAAAATAAAATAAATAAATAAATAAATAAATGCGATGGCCCGATAGGCCCATTTTTCTTTGTCACCTGGCTCCAGATCCTCTCTATGCATATGGGGAGGGCGAAAGCAGCCTTCCCCACCCGCTCCAGGCCCTCCTGAGGCAGGAAATAGCCTGTTTCCCTACTTCTGGTGGGCCCAAAAAGCCTGAAAATCAGGTGGCTGGCATGTACATGTGCACCAGAGCTGAGCTGGCGTGCCCACTGATATGGCTACACGTGTCACCTGTGGCACACGTGCCATAAGTTCGCCATCATGGATCTAGGATGTCATAGGAACAAACCATTGTGATCCCCTCGTTTTAAGGCTTGGTGTGTGTTGGGTGGACCTAATCAAAGAGACAGAGAGGGGAAAAAGAAGAAGAGAGGGGGATCGTAAGAGGGGGAAGAAAGGGATGTGTGCGAGTCTACCAATTTTATCAGCTTGCCTCTTTTTTTTTTTTTTTTTAATTGATTTATATGTCGCCCTTCTCCGGAGACTCAGGGCTGCTTACAATGCGTTAAGCAATAGCCTTCATCCTTTTGTATATTTATACAAAGTCAGCTTATTGTCCCCACAAACTGGGTCCTCAATTTACCTACCTTAGAAAGGATGGAAGGCTGAGTCGACCTTGAGCCTGGGGAGAATTGAACTCGCAGTAATTGCAGGCAGCTGGATGTTAAATGCTGCCTTAGGAGGCATTAGCCTCCTACGCCACTCAGGCCACTCTTGGGGAATAGATGGCTTAGGACTGTCATAGTACAGGTAGTCCTTGACTTATGATCACACTTGAACCCAATTATACTGGGCTAGCATAACACACTTGACTGAACTGGGTTTGGGATGGTCCATTTTGCCTGTTTCGTGAAGTTAGGCCGTTGCATTACTGGAAGCCAGAATAGAGCTCAGTTGGGTTGCTCAACCTCAGCAACTTTTAAGATGTGTGGGTTTCAATTCAGAAGCTAGGTAAGGAATTCTGGGAATTGAAATCCACACATCATAATGCTGCTGAGGTTGAAAAATGCCAGAAAGAGAGTAAACGGTGCTTTCTTCTTTTTTTAAAAAAAAAAAATTCTACACTTTTTTTTATTTTATTTTTTATTTTTTTTAATAAATATCTCAAATCAGTGCGTGAACAGTGTGGCTCCTGGGGGTGTCATACATTCTAATGCAAATGAAAACTAATAAAGTTAATCATAATTATTTCATTCTATCAGCTTATGCATTTCTAATAACAATACACATTTATATTATGTTGCAGTCTATCATTCCACATTTTCTCTTGTTGTTGCTTTCATTTCGTCTTATAAAAATATATACAGTAAAGTTCCCCTTTCTCTTATTTCTATCACTTATTCTAGCTTTTAATCATGTCACCCTTTATTAAACGACTTTATCTTCCTTTCTTAGCTAGCTTCTAATCATGTCACCTACCTAAAAAAAAAAAGAAAGAGAAAAAAGAAAAGAGAGAGAAAGAAAGAGAAAGGCAAATCAGAACAAAAGCAATGGTGCATTCTGATGGATTTAAAGTTGAAGCGTGCTGGGTAAACCCAGTCTTAAGACCATTGGGGAGGTGGAAAGGAAAAGTGGCTAAGGAGGAGAAAAGAAGGGATGTATAGATAGTAGGATTGTTTTCTTGCCATTGATTCCGTGTCTTCTCCTGTTCCCAGACACATTGTGCTGAGAACCTGCTCAAGGCTGACACCTATCGCAAGTGGAAGGCTGCCCAGGCTGGGGAAAAGCAAGTTTCGGTCATATTACAAGTGAGTTTCCGCTAATCCCTTGGTGAGATCAGTCCCCAACACTTTCTGCACTTTCTTGTAACACCTGCAGTATGATAACTTGCTGTAAGCATATTTATACTGTTAGAGTCGTGTCCGTATAAATTATAGTTCTTCAAGCCCAATTTCTCTCTCTCTCTATGTGTATATGTGTATATGTATACATACATGTGTAGGGACGCGGTGGCTCAGTGGCTAAAACGCTGAGCTTGTCGATCGAAAGGTTGGCAGTTCAGCGGTTCGAATCCCTAGTGCCGCGTAATGGGGTGAGCTCCCGTTCCTTGTCCCAGTTTCTGCCAACCTAGCAGTTCGAAAGCACGTAAAAAATGCAAGTAGATAAATAGGGACCACCTTTGGTGGGAAGGTGACAGCACTCTGTGCGCCTTTGGCGTTTAGTCATGCCGGCCACATGACCACGGAGAGTCGTCTTCGGACAGTGATGGCTCTTCGGCTTTGAAACGGAGATGAGCAGCGCCCCCTAGAGTCAGGAACAACTAGCACATATGTGCGAGGGGAACCTTTACCTTTACCCATACATGTATATGTACTGTATATAACAGAAATAAATGCTTTTCAGGTACTATTTGGAATTTCTTCATAATTTTCCTATTTAGTTAATCATGGTTCTGCGGTGCGTTACTGTATGCTCAGCTGTCCACCAGTCTCCTCAAAATTATCTACTGTTAAGATCTTAGAAAAAGCAGCAGTTGGAAAAGGAAAACTTTTCTGTCTTAAATAATCGCTGTCAGTCAAATTGGATCATAATGGGCTTGATCCTGATTTAGTATAGGGTAGTTTTATTTGCTCTTCGCATGGCTCATATACATGGTTGGGGCATATTTGGTTAAATCAATAACTAATTGTTAAGACCTGGGCCTATAGGGATTCCTTTCCTGCATTTTCCACAATTCTCTTACTGTACTCTCTTTATTTTATTTATTTTATTTATTTGTTTAAATTTCTATACCGCCCTTCTCCAATGTAGGACTCAGGGCGGTGAACAGCCAAAGTAAAAACAAGACATACATACAAAACATACAAAATCTAAAAACTGTTTAAAATAATTAAATAATTTTGGCAGTAATTAAAACATTCCAATTTAAAATCCATTTAAAATTTCCCTCACAGTTTGAAAAAGAGGAGCAGATTCACAGCATTGATATTGGCAATGAAGGCTCTGCCTTTGTGGAAGTGCTGGCTGGCAGCTCTGCCTCTTCCAGTGAGCAGACTTATGAGGTGAGTGAATTTGGTGTCGTCCGAAAGTTGCCATCACAGCAACAGTGGTACTTTTTCTGTTTTCAGTGAAGGGGGTTTGGTGTTATTTCCTTTGTTCCATTTGAATATGTACAGTCACAAATTCCAGCAGTGTAAACCAAACATCATTTGAATACAGGTGTGTGTGTGTAACACAGGCTGACTGCTTAGCAGTTTAGGCAAAAACACTAGAACAGGGGTGTCAAACTTGCGGCCCACAGGCCAGATGGTCACGCACTGGCCACGCCCACCCCCGTTTTAGCAAAGGGGGGGAGTTGTGATACGTCACGTGACAACAACATGTCACAAGTTTGACACCCCTGCATTAAGAGGCACAAGAGGGACCCTGCTTTCCCCTGTGTTTATTATCCATGTCGGGATTTTTCCTGTGTGTGATACTTTTCCCTCAAGAGCCCCAATGCTGATTTGGTGTGCTGTGGCTTTGCTCTCAGGCAGTTTGGGGAGGACTCTTCTGGATTATAAGGATTAAAAGGGACGCGATGGCTCAGTGGCTAAGACGCTGAGCTTGTCGATCGAAAGGTCGGCAGTTCAGCGGTTCGAATCCCTAGCGCCACATAACGGGGTGAGCTCCCGTTCCTTGTCTCAGCTTCTGCCAACCTAGCAGTTCGAAAGCACGTAAAAAATGCAAGTAGAAAAACAGGGACCACCTTTGGTGGGAAGGGAACAGCGTTCCGTGCGCCTTTGGCGTTGAGTCATGCCGACCACATGACCACGGAGACGTCTTTGGACAGCGCTGGCTCTTTGGCTTTGAAACGGAGATGAGCACCGCCCCCTAGAGTCGGGAACGACTAGCACATATGCGTGAGGGAAACCTTTACCTTTACTTCTGGATTAAGACTGGAATTTAGTGAGAGATGTATTTTCCAAAAACCTGTGTCTCTTGATCTCCACTGTAGTGCTTTCCATTCCATCTCAGGTGCTGTTGGTTACATCCTCCTTCATGTCTCCCTCAGAGAGCAAGAGTAGCACCAACTTGAACAGAGTCCGTATGTTTGGGCCAGATAAACTGGTGAAGGCGACAGCTGAGAAGAAGTGGGACCGAGTTAAGATTGTTTGTACCCAGCCATATACCAAGGTTTATATTTTGGAAACAAAATATATGGGATGCTGGCCGGAGTCTGCCATGGACTCCTGCATTTATTTCTTCCTCAGAGGCTTGCTAAGGAGCTGGTACTTTTTTAGCATACTCTTTAGCAATTGTTGCGTTTAGTATCTATCAAAATGGGTTCCATGCCTCCTCATAACTGCATTTCAAAGGTGAGAGAGTCATCATTTTGTATATGAGAAAAGAAGTCGATCTCGGGCAGTTTGGATGATTATCTGGCAAACAAGAAGTTGTGAATATTAATTTCTTCTAAATGTGACCCTAAATTTCTGGGTATTCACCTTTCTGGAGGTGAGGTGAAGTCTCACCTCCAGAAGTTCACAATTATGCCTTTTCTAGATGAAAGTCTACAGATAGCTGAACAAGTTAAAATCTAGCCGGTCCCTCTTTATAGCCTTGTGAATATTTACTCAGAAATAAAACTCACTGGCTTCAGTGATTCCCAAGTATATTAACGTTGAATCGCAACTTTACTAGTGGGGTAACTTCTCTCAAAAGAACACTTTAGGATTAAAAAAGGTAACAGTTATTAGCCATTTACTTGGAATGCGGTGGCTCTGGCTAAGACGTTGAGCTTGTCAATCGAAAGTTCAGCAGTTCGAATCCCTAGCGCCACATAATGGGGTGAGCTCCCGTTCCTTGTCCCAGCTTCTGCCAACCTAGCAGATCGAAAGCAGGTAAAAAATGCAAGTAGAGAAAGAGGGACCAGCTTTGGTGGGAAGGTAACAGTGTTCCGTGCGCCTTTGGCGTTTAGTCATGCCGGCCACATGACCATGGAGAGACGTCTTCGGACAGCGCTGGCTCTTCGGCTTTGAAACGGAGATGAGCACCGCCCCCTAGAGTCGGGAACAGATAGCATGTGCGGGGGGAACTTTTACCTTTACCTTATTAGCCATTATATTAAGCAAGATTATTCCTAAGGCAGATGTGTCAAACATGCGGCCCACAGGTGGGATCTGGCCTGTGATAGACCCAGAGTCATCCCCGTGGGGCCATCTCAGAGATGGCAAGGGACCGGCCCATGCCACCCTGGCCATGTCTGCACAGCCGTGATGACCAGCTCTCAATAGAATCAAACCTTTCTTGTTGACTTATTAAGCTCCCCAGGGAACCTTCCAGATTTCAGTTTTCAGATTTCTTTGGGGTTGGGACTTACAGAAGCTGAATCCTCCATCCATGCGTATGCCCCCAAGAAAGCTATATTAATGCTAGTCTTGTTTGTTTCTAATGTTTTTTAGTCACTCATAGATTTAATCTGCCTTCTGTTATAAAGCTGGTTTGTGTCCCACCTCTGGAGGGAATGTGGTCTGTCATTAGAGAAGGCAGTTGCACTCACAGAACGACAATTGCTTTATGGCTGCCTGATTTGCCTAAATCTGAATCCTCTTCCTTCTCTCTTCAGTCTCTGGCATATGGCCTTTCCTTCGTGAGGTTCCATTCTCCTCCAGACAGCAGCGAGACACATTCCAAAGCGGCTTCACCGGTGAGCATCACCTTGAGTTACGTGATCCCTTCCAACATCTATGTGTTCTGACCTAGGCTTCCGAAGAGCATGAAGTCCTTGTCCTGACAAAAACCCTTTGTTGTTAAGTTACTGTGAATTCCTCTTATTCACATCCAACAAAGTCTTTCAAGGGAGAATTTACAGTCACAGACCTTATCTGGCTTGGGGAGCTGCCAGGCTGATATATTCAAAACTTGGCAAGGAGTCTCTGAGAGTCACAAACCAATTAAGCTAACTAATTGTCTCCTGCAAACTCCACTCCCCTTTTGCTTCACTTTTATTCCCTCTGAGAGGGGCCATTCATCATCCACCTGTGGCTTTACTCCTGAGTCGACCCTTGTTCTTTAGCTGTTCCCTTTGTCTGGCAACTCTGTGCATGCGCACACTGGGAACAGGCTGTTTTTCTGCCCCACTTATCTCCGACTCCGAAGGTAGCTGATAACTGTTGGACAGCCCTGGCCCCCTCTCTGCCTCCGACACAGAGCCCTCATCAGAGCCTTCCCCTGACTCCAGGATTGGCCCATATTCCTCCCCAACCTCTTCACTGTCCGACTGCTGCCAGCTCCACTGGCCGCTGGCGGGCCACAACACTATGACCCTTCTTTAAAATCTGGGTATCTCGTTCTCTTTTTCTTCCACCTGCATCAGAAGGTCACCAAATTGGGGCAGTTTAAGGTGAAGGAGGATGACAGCAACTCCAGCTCTCTGAAACCTGGTGCTCTCTTTTTCAGCCGTGCCAGTAAACCCCTGGTCTCCCCTCCTAAAGGTAATTCTCACAAGTTTTTTTATCCTACCTAAAAGCCGTAAGAAGGTCACAGTTTATTTATCATCCAGCCAATAGGAGGCAGTAGCCTTTCTCTGCTGTAACTTAGAAGCTGATAATATGTGAGATTTTGCCCTTGCAATGCAGGCTCTATTAATAACACTAATTGCTAATAGAATCTGATAAATAGAATAGATTAGAATTCTTTTTTTTTTTTAATTTGATTTATATGCCGCCCTTCTCCGGAGACTCAGGGCGGCTTACAATGCGTTAAGCAATAGCCTTCATACTTTTTGTATATTTATACAAAGTCAGTTTATTGCCCCCACAAACTGGGTCCTCAATTTACCTACCTTAGAAAGGATGGAAGGCTGAGTCAACCTTGAGCCTGGGGAGATTCGAACTTGCAGTAATTGCAGGCAGCTGAATGTTAATAACAGGCTATTAGTCTGCTGCGCCACCAGGCTCCTTTTATTGGCCAAGTGTAATTGGACACACAAGGAATTTGTCTTTGGTGCATACGCTCTCAGTGTACAAAAAAAGGAAAGATACATTCGTCAAGAATCATAAGGTACAACACTTCATGATAGTCAGAAGGTACAAATAAGCAATCAGCTCATACTAGGAAACAATATCAATATAAATCGTAAGGATACCAGCAACAAAGTTACAGTCATGCAGTCAGAAGTGGGAGGAGATGGGTGGTGGGAACGATGAGAAGACTAAAAGTGTGATTGGTTTCCTTCTTCGTTTGGCCATTCTTGAAATGAAACTTTTTTTCCAGCTGAAAGTGTCCGTTCTAACGCTTTATCTACTCTTTAGCATTTGCAGTGTTTTCTGCATGTGTAGATATCCACATCGAGACTGGAAACATGATGATGATAATACTTACTATTCTTGCAGCATCTCAGAATGACCAGCCTTCACCCAGTTATGCTGCCGCCTCACTGCAGACCAGCAAATCTCTTTCTCCTGACTCTTCACCATCTGTGGTGGACAAGCCCACCACCAAAACCTCACCCAAGGTAAAGAAGAGGAAATAGAAGCCATGCGGGGATGGGGGCGGTGGTGGGAAGCGGTCGACCTCCAACCTTTTTCCTGTCTCTAATTTGCTGTCCAAGTGGAGAAACAAAAATAAATTCCTTCTTTAACCGAATGAGTGGTACTTATGATTGGTCCTCCTAGCTGCAACTGTTAACAGCATTGCCAGATTCATGCAGGGGTGGGCTTCAAAAATTTTAGCAAGGGGTTCTCTGCCCAGTTGCTGGGTGGGCGTGGCCATGGTGGGCGTGGCCTAGTCGGCCTCCTGCTCCATGGTGCGGTGGGCAGTTTTGCTCTCTCCGGGCTCTGGAGGCTTTTGTCTAGCCTCCGGGAGGGTGAAAATGGCCTCCCCAGGCTCCGGAGGCTGTCTGGAGGCCAGAAACAGGCCCATTTCTGGCCTTCCCGAACTTCTGGTAGGACTTTTTCACCCTCCTCGAGGCTTCGTGTGTGCCCTGCACTTACCTGCATCCAAAACAGGCCAGGTGGGGACTCCTGGGGGGGCAGGGTGGGGTGGGCGGGGCCAGCCAGGAGTGGGATTTGGGGGTTCTCTGAACTGCACAGAATCTTAGCTAGAGGTTCTCCTGAACCCCTGCGAACCCCCAGCAGTCCACCCCTGCATTCATGTGAATGTGATCTGACTACTCAACGACTTGTCTTGGAGGAAGCAAGTCCTTGCAGCATCCTATGCTCACGTGATCTCTATTTGCAACCTTCACCGTCGGCCTTTCACAAGCGGAGTCCATGAGGGACTGGCAGGAGGTCGCAAATGGGCCCCATGTGATGTTGTTTAATCATGGCAACTAGAAGTGCTGGAACTGCTGTCATAAGTTGCTACGGTGTCTTATCATGATGTGTTTTTATGACTGTGTCACTTAGCGACCGAAATTCTGTTCCCAGTTATTTTTGTTAAGAAAGGACTACTTGTACTTCCATTCCGCAATCTTACTATGTTGCCTCTCTAGGCACATGAGCATGGTTTATTCGTGGGCCAGAGCAGCAGCATGGGTCCTAGAATTATTTACAGCCAATCTTAAAGGATCCGTAAGCCTATATTTGTCTTAGAAGTAAATCCAATGAAGTTGGGAGAAGCTTCTGTCCCAAGTATTTTAGGATTAGTTGCAGTCTTAAGTTTTCTTGTCTTTGCAGGAACCCACCCCAGTCAAAAGGAAGTTTGAGTTCAGCAAAGAAAATGCTGGCCTCTCATCAGCAACCAAGAAAGCTATCCCTGATAAGTCCCGCGTTACACACCCACCTTCCAAAAAACACAAAGGTGTGTGAAGAAAGGGGGAAACTTGCAAGTTGAAAAATCCATGCAATACAGAACATTTTTTTAAATTCATCTATTTATTTAATCAATAGTCCGTTTGCGTGGCCAACAATCTCAACAAGTGTCCCTGAGTGGCAAACAATATTAAGATAAAATGATAAGCAGTTGTACAAGCGATAGCCCTGAACCCAAATGTTTTCAGCACGTTACTTTATTATTATGAGCCATGGTGGCACAGTGGTTAGAGCGCAGTACTGCAGGCTACTTCTGCTGTCTGCCGGCTGCCTGCAATTTGGCTTTTTGAATCTCACCAGGCTCAAGGTTGACTCAGCCTTCCGTCCTTCGGAGGTGGGTAAAATGAGGATCCAGATTGTTGGGGGCAAGAGGCTGACTCTGTAAACTGTTTAGAGAGGGCTGTAAAGCACTGTGAAGCGGTATATAAGTCTTAAGTGCTATTGCTATTATTACTATCATATCTTTATTACATTCCAGAGTCAAATATTAAAATGCAAACTAATGTAAAAGGAAGCAGCAAAACAAATGACCCAAAAATACATCAAGCAAATTCGTTTGATGTAAATATTTTTGAGCACGTCACTTTTTTGAAGTTGGATTTCTAAGCGCCGGCTTAATACAGTAGGCTGGGTAATTTACATGAAAGAATGAGCAACGATTCGGACTTGCCTCTTAACCTAACCTTTGCGTTTTGTCTTTGTTGATTTGCAGTTTCTCTCTCCACGTCTCCTCCCCAGAAGACGCTGCCTTTGAAAAAAGCTCTTCCCACACAGTCTTCAGAGGAGACGGCAGCAAACGGGCCTTTCCAGCAACTCCTACAGGGTACTGTCTTCGTGCTGAGCGGTTTCCAGAACCCCTTTCGCTCTGAATTAAGGGACAAGGCCTTGGAGATGGGGGCCAAGTACCGTCCAGACTGGTCCCCTGACAGCACTCACCTCATGTACGTGTCTGGTACCCGGTGGATCTACCTTCCTAAAACATGCGTGGTTTTCATTTTTTCCCCATTCCCTAAAAGTTAAGCCATTGCAACCTCAAATAAGAGCCTTGGTAGTACAGTGGTCTAAAACACCCTGTTATTAAGACCAGCTGCCTGCAATTACTGCAGGTTCGAATCTCGCCAGGCTCAAGGTTGACTCAGCCTTCCATCCTTTCTAAGGTAGGTAAATTGAGGACCCAGTTTGTGGGGGCAATAAACTGACTTTGTATAAATATACAAAAGGATGAAGGCTATTGCTTAATGCATTGTAAGCTGCCCTGAGTCTCCGGAGAAGGGCGGCATATAAATCAAATTAAAAAAAAAATGCTCTACTTAGGGAGCCCAAGATCTCAGCTTTGTAAAAGAAGAACTCAAAGAGACTCCCAATTTTGCAAGGGTCTATAATAACTTGCCTCGGACAATTCACCATGGCCAACTCACTACGGCCAACTCTAATATCAAGTTACACTAATATCGAGGAAATAGCGGGATAGAATAAGTTTTAAAAAGGATTTTTTAAAAATGCCAAAGGAAGGTCAAAATGAAATGTGAATGAATAGAGATTGGGATTGGCCCAAAGTCACCCAGCCAGTTTTCATGTCTAAGGCGGGACTAGAACTCACCGTCTCCTGGTGATTGGTCCAAAGTCACCCAGCTGGCTTTCATGCCTAAGGCGGGACTAGAACTCATAGTCACCTGGGGATTGGCCCAAAGTCACCCAACGTGCTTTCATGCCTAAAGTAGGACAAGAAATCCCGGTCTCTTGTTTTTTTGCCTGGTGCCTTTACCACTAGACCAAGCTGTCTGGTTTCGTACTGGTGCCTGATAGATTGCAATGGATCCTTCAGTGCTGAATGACTCTGTTTCTCCTTCTAGCTGTGCCTTTGCCAACACCCCCAAATACAGCCAGGTGAAAGGGCTCGGGGGCACCATTGTACGGAAAGAGTGGATCCTGGACTGCCACCGTACCCGTCGGTGCTTACCCTGCAAAAGGTGAGTTGCCAAGGGGAACGGGAGCTAGGTGGATTTCTGCTCCATTTTCATTTCAGACTATAACTGGAAGGTTCCCTTTCCTAGGTACGTGATGGGTGGCCCCGACTCGTCCAGCAGCGAACAGGAAGAGGAGAGTGAGGAGGAGACCTCAGCTCCGCCTCGCAGACCTTTGACTCCTCAACAGGTAGATTAGATGTGTGTGTTTGGGGGACGTTTCCGTTACTGTGGTATACAGTGAGTTTCATTGTAGGTTTTTCTTACCTGATTTGACTTGTTATTTTGCAACGTGAACATTAGTGTAAGCCATGAGATTCTAATCCTTTAAGAGTGTTTTGCCTTTGTCGGGAATATATCAGGAATCTTTGTGAGGAGAGCCAGTTTAGTCTAGTGGTTAAGGCACCAGGCTAGAAAGCAAGGAACCGTGAGTTCTAGTCCCGCCTTATCCAGCTGGGTGACTTTGGGCCAGTCACCAGGAGATTGTGAGTTCTAGGTCGCCTTAGGCATGAAAGGTAACTTTGGGCCAGTCACCAGGAGATTGTGAGTTCTAGTGTTGCCTTAGGCATGAAAGGTAACTTTGGGCCAGTCACCAGGAGATTGTGAGTTCTAGTCTCGCTTTAGCCATGAAAGACAGCTGGGTGACTTTGGACTAGTCACCAGGAGATTGTGAGTTCTAGTCTCGCTTTAGCCATGAAAGCCAGCTGGGTGACTTTGGGCCAGTCACCAGGAGATTGTGAGTTCTAGTCTCGCTTTAGCCATGAAAGACAGCTGGATGACTTTGGGCCAGTCACCAGGAGATTGTGAGTTCTAGTCTCGCTTTAGCCATGAAAGACAGCTGGATGACTTTGGACCAGTCACCAGGAGATTGTGAGTTCTAGTCTCGCTTTAGCCATGAAAGACAGCTGGGTGACTTTGGACCAGTTACCAGGAGACTGTGAGTTCTAGTCTCGCTTTAGCCATGAAAGACAGCTGGGTGACTTTGGGCCAGTCACCAGGAGACTGTGAGTTCTAGTCTCGCTTTAGCCATGAAAGACAGCTGGGTGACTTTGGACCAGTCATCAGGAGATTGTGAGTTCTAGTGTCGCTTTAGCCATGAAAGACAGCTGGGTGACTTTGGGCCAGTCACCAGGAGATTGTGAGTTCTAGTCTCGCTTTAGCCATGAAAGACAGCTGGGTGACTTTGGAACAGTTACCAGGAGACTGTGAGTTCTAGTCTCGCTTTAGCTATGAAAGCCAGCTGGGTAACTTGGGCCAGTCACTTCCTCTCGGCCCAACTGACCAATAGAGTTGTTATTCTGGGGAAAATAGGAGGAGGAAGGTGTGCTGGATGATACGTTCACTGTCTTGAGTTAACTACAGAAATAATTAAAGCGGAATATAAATCAATTTTAAAAATTAATCAATATCGGAATTTAATGACCAACAAATGTTCAAAAACTTGCTGCAGGTCAGTTTGCCTTCCTCTGCAATTGAACCCTGTCTTTTCTGTGCCAGAAAACCAGTGTGCCCAGCCCCAACCACAAAGTTAAGCCTGCCACCAGCCCCAAAATATTGCAGGCGGTGCCACCGAAAGTGTCTTCCGGGGGAGGAAGAGGAAGAGCCCACCACCTCTCAGAACAGCAACATCCACAACAATTCAAGGGCATCCAGCGGGGATGAGAAATTTGCAGGTAGAGTAGACCATATATTTGGGGATGCAGAGGAACATTGCTCCCACAGAATCCTTCGTTGGCAGGAGTGGGGCTGGTGGTGAGTGGAGCATGGGGGTTTGAAACCAAGATTCAGGTGTTTCTCTCTATCCATCTTGTAGAGATTGTTTTTTTTAAAAAACAAAATAAAATAAAATAGCCAATATTTACTTATATCAGTAAAGGAATGTATTATAGATAGAAAGAATAAAACAAGAATAATAACAATGTCCACTTCTGCAATTTCAATTTATGTTGAATACCGAGTGTCTCCTTCCTCCATGTTAGAGCATATGCAAAACAAACAAACAAAAAAAATCATTGAATGCACTCTTCCAGATACATAGGCTTTTGTAAAAATGTTTTTAGAATTATATTCAGTTGCCTTTTGTCCTACCTCTGTCACGTATGTCCTTGAGGTTAATTTATTTAACATCTAACCACCTTCCAGACTCATAGCTCTGCTTTAACTGAATAACCTTGTGGAGATTATTGAAGGGATTAGAATAGAATAGAATAAGAATAGATGATGGGATGGGATGGGATGGGATGGGATGGGATGGGATAGGGAATAGAATAGAATAGAATAGAATAGAATAGAATAGAATAGAATAGAATAGCAGAGTTGGAAGGGACTTTAGAGGTCTTCTAGTCCAACCCCCTGCTTAGGCAGGAAACCCTACACCATTTCAGACAAATGGTTATCCAACATCTTAAAAGCTTCCAGTTTTGGAGCATTCACAACTTCTGGAGGCAAGTTGTTCGACTGATTAATTGTTCTAACTGTCAGGAAATTCCTCCATAGTTCTAAGTTGCTTCTCTCCTTGATCAATTTCCGTCCGATGCTTCTTGTCCTGCCCTCTGGTGCTTTGGAGAAGAGCTTGACTCCCTCTTCTTTGTGGCAACCCCTGAGATATCGGAAGACTGCTATCATGTCTCCCCTAGTCCTTCTTTTCATTAAACTAGACCTACCCAGTTCCTGCAACCGTTCTTCATATGTTTTAGCCTCCAGTCCCCTAATCATCTTGGTTGCTCTTCTCTGTACTCTTTCTAGAGTCTCCACATCTTTTTTTTTACATCATGGCGACCAAAACTGAATGCAGTATTCCAAGTGTGGCCTTACCACACTTCATGAAGTGTGTTAATGAAGGATTCTTGCTTCTCTGGGACAGCTCATCAGTGTCAGCTGATCCTCTCAGCTCATCCTCTCCACCAATGATCACAACAGTTTACCCAGCAGTTTTGACAGTGGGGACATAAAAGAGATTGCTGATGTTTCCTTTCTGCCTTTTCTGCTGCCCCTTAGGTCTTCAAGACAACGGAGACGAAGGGTCTGGTGACACCGATGACGAGTTAAGGAGGTTGGTCCGAGTGATCCCTGTCATAGTTGACCCTTCCTGTGCGGGCTGCCTCACTTAATAACTGAAACAGAGCTTACCATAATAGATTCTGTGGGTTGAAGCCTGGAGGCCTTTTGGGGGTTTGTGGTGGATCCTTTCCCAAAGCTAATTCCGTGTCTCCTCTGGCTTAGAGTCGAAGAGGAACACCGCAAAAAGCAGCAAGGTGGACGGAGGATCATCCCAGAACCGGACAACGACCCCTACGCTGGTTCCACTGATGAGAACACAGACGTTGAGGAACAGGTGGAGCCAGATCAGCCTATCCCAGAACTTCCAGGTTTGTCCAAACCAATCTAAAGTTTGGTATTTCTTTCCTTTTTTCTTAATCAAAGTACCAATCTGTGGGATTATTAGTCCATTACTCTTTAGCTAAATAATCAGTATCTAATAGAGGCAGTCCCCGACTTACGACCATAGTTGGAACTGTAAGATCCATTGAATTGAATTGAATTCTTTATTGGCCGAGTGTGGACACACAAGGAAATTATCTGGTGCATATGCTCTCTGTGTACATAAAAAGACAATTACTACCAACCTGCCTTCCATTGAGGACCTGTATACTGCACGAGTCAAAAGAGGGCTGCGAAAATATTTATAGACTCCTCGCATCCTGGACATAAGCTGTTTCAATTCCTACTCTCAAAATGATGCCTTAGCAATGTGTGTGCTAAGAGGTGCAGTTTTTAAGTGAGGTGCTGAGAGAGAGAGAGTGAGAGTGACTGACCCAAAGTCACCCACTTGGTTTTCATGCTTGAGGCAGGATTAGAACTCGCCATTTCCTGGTCTCTAGCCTGCTGCCTTAAACCACTAGATGAAACTGGCTGAATGATTAGAGAACGAATGGGTATGTTTGGGTTGTCCTGTTCTTCATTCTGCTTTTAAAGGATCTTTGCTTTTCCTTTCCAGATCTGTTTGTGGGCAAATGCTTCTTCCTTTATGGTGAATTCCCTTCTCAGGAACGACGCCTCTTGAATCGCTACATCATAGCTTTTAATGGGTGAGTTTTTACCAGAATATTACTGTAGGGCTCTCCCAGTTCCTAAATATGACGTAGAAGGTGCCGTATATATATATTTTCATCTGCTTTGACAGCTTGGGTGAAGAGTTGATTTAGAGAGAGAGAGAGTGTGTGTGTGTGTTTTGATTTGCCGGCGGCCTGCGCTGCAGAACTGGCAGCGGAGTTGGACAGTGAGGAGGCTGGGGAGGAACATGGGCCAGTCCTGGAGTCTGGGGAAGGTTCGGATGAGGGCTCTGCGTTGGAGGCAGAAAAAGGGCCATTTGGGAGGTATGTGCCGTCTCTGGAGCCTCCCGAGTCGGACCTCAGCGAGGCAGAGGAACAGGGGGAGCCTGTTCCCAGTGCGCGCATGCACAGAGCTGCCAGAAGGCAAGAGCAGTTAAAAGAAAAGGGACGACTCGGGAGTAGAGCTTGGAGATGATTGGCCCCTCCCATAAAACTTAAAAGGAGGAGCAAAGGCACATGGGCCTTTGCAGGAAGCAACGTTGTTAATTCTGTTCAGTTTATAGTCTGAAGCTCTGTTTGATTGTGAACTCTAGATGGCTTTGCTAATTAGGTCTGTGAATGAACAGAATTCACAGCTGTTGCAATAAAAGAGGTTTTTCAGACTACTCGTGTGTTTTCGGACTACTCGTGTGTTTTACCGACTCAGGAAGCCTAGGTCAGAACAGAGAGAGAGAGAGAGAGAGAGAGAGAGAGAGAGAGAGAGAGAAAGAGAGAGAGAGAGAGAGAATCAACTCTTCACCCTAACTCATGTGTGTATAATATATATGCAGCTTTGCACACGCTAATTCCCAACGGGCTGCCGACTGGTACCAGTCCGTGGACCAGGAGTTGGGGACCCTTCTCCTAGATGTTTTCTTATCTCTAGAGAAGCAGAAAACTCTCTCTAAAGGCCGCACATTTTGACTTCTTGCAGGGAAGTGGAGGACTACATGAACGAGCGTGTAAATTATGTGATCACGGCTCAAGAATGGGACGACACGTTTGATGAGGTGAGCTGGGATCTTTAGGGCTTCGGGGAAATTAGCCCAGACCTTTAAACCATTTAACAAAACCGAGAGGACCACCCGTGCTACAATTCTGAAGACCTCTGAGGAATGGTCAAATTTACATTGAGCAGGGTATACACCCAGTCTTGTGACGGCTAGGAACTGCGCTAACGTCAGGAGCCAAAGAATCAAGGCGATATGTTAAATTCCATTTCAGAATCTGTCAGAAATGGTGTATGGTCTCCTGCTTGGGTGGGTGTGTGTGGTGTGTGTGTGTGTTGGACTGGATGACCTACAAGGCAGGGGTGAAATTCAGCAGGTTCTGACAGGTTCTGGAGAACCGGTAGCAGAAATTTTAAGCAGTTCGGAGAACCGACAAACATCACCTCTGGCTGGCCCCAGAGTGGGGTGGGAATGGAGATTTTGTAATATCCTTCCCCCTGGAGTGGGGAGGGAATGGGGATTTTGCAGTATCCTTCCCCCTGGAATGGGGAGGGAATGGGGATTTTGCAGTATCCTTCCCCTGCCACGCCCACCAAGCCACACCACCCCCACTCCAACACCGGCAGGGGAATTCTGGGAGTTGAAGTCCCAAGGATGAGAACCACTGCCGTACTGGCTCTGAGTTGACGCACCAGATGAAGTTCCCAGAAAGAGGAGGAGGAGAAAAATATTAATTTGAATGCCGGTATTAGCCAGCTTCAACGGTGAGCGGTGCGATGGCCTAGAGGTGAAGCTCTCGTCTCACAATCAGGAGGCTGTGAGTTTGATCCTACGGTAGAGGCAGCTATTACTCTCTCTGGACACATGAGAATATATCTGCTGAATATAACTCCGCATTGGTGACAGGAAAGGCATCCGGCCAGTAATCACTCAGCTCCATTCAGTTGCCCAGACTCCACCCCCGCAAGGGATTATGGGGTCATTAAAAGATGATGATGATGATGATATAGTCAGCTTCAACAGTCTCTGTCTGCAAATAGGCTGGGTTCTGCCACTATGAGCAGCTCCGAGACTGTTGGATGGTCTCTTTCCTTAATTTTGGCTTCAGGCTCTGAATGACAACCCCAACCTTTCCTTCGTGCGTCCCCGTTGGATCTACAACTGCAACGACCGGCAGAAGCTGATTCCCCACCAGCCGTATGTCGTGGTGCCGCGAGTGTAGGAGGATTTACCTGCCGGAGTTTGTATATAATGTATATTCGTCTCTTTAGGGGGAAGATCCTTAGCCTGCTGGCTAGTTGAAACAGGACACTCCCGTTGGGAGAAATTGCCTCCCTCTGAAGCCCTCCAACCTTGGGGTGGTTTGGATGGTCTTTGGTTGCGTTTTTTTTTTCTTTCCCCATCCAGTTCCACCAGATCATGTCAGAAATCAGTCTGCTTTTGGGAAGCAATGGTTGCTGCAGGCTGCTCTGGAACAGTACTAGGGTCATCTTCCAGGATGGAGAAGGCGCTCCCTTAAAATTAAGAGCCCAGGGTTCAACAAAGGCGAAAGTTAATGTACAGAACCAAATTCATAGACCTCTTTGCGCGCCTCGGTATTTCTTGCCCTTCTCACAACCCACTTATATTGGTACTCCTCTTTCTCTTCTTCATCTTCCCAGGGCATTGTGGGGATGTGTTCTGGCTGAGCATCTTTTTGCCTCTCCCTATGGAAAGATCTTTCTACGTACACCGAATCCCGACAGCAGCAAACCTTGATTTTCCTAGCAGGGAGTTTGGGGGTTTCGCAGAAGAAAAAAAGCTGTCCCATTTCTCACCCAGGGTGGTTCCAGTTTCACGATAGTAGAGATGGGGCTCGTCGCCATCATTGGTGTAGGTAAACCTCGGTGGGTTGTCCCATCTGCAGACAAAGCCGAGCTCGTTTTTAAAATGCCGCGATCGACAAATTGCATTCATGCCTTCCATGTGCATGTTTTTCAGAAGGAAAGAAAAAAACACCCAGGAAAAAACGGCATCCCATAATCCCCACCCAATCCTGGCTTGTTTTGACAATTGCAACACTGATTAGAAGTTATGTATGGGCTCCGTTAAATAAGTGAACACTTTCCCTGACCAATTATTCTAAGAGGAGAGTGTTTGGCCTAAATCAGGGGTCTCCAACCTTGGGAATTTTAAGCCTGACGGACTTCAACTCCTAGAATTCTTCAGCCAGCAAAGCTGAATTCTGGGAGTTGAAGTCCGCCAGGCTTAAAGTTGCCAAGGTTGGAGACCCCCAGCCTAGATATACGATGGTAGCAAAGTTGAGAATGGAAGTATTAGAAGAAACCCTGATTGCTTAAACCGAATCACAATTTCTGGGGTAGGCTTTCCTTTTCAATGAATTTTTCCAGGTTCCTCTGTAGGAAAATAAGAAACTGCTTTAGTTAATTTCAGAATGGAATTGTTCATTTCTGCAGAGCATCGTCAGTTTCACTATGAATTGTTTTGCCCCCCCTGCTTCTTCGGAACGAAAAATATTGGACCATTTTTACATGTTCTTTTCAGAGTAGCGTTTCTTAACCTTGGCAACTTTAAAACGAGTGAACTTCAGCTCCCAGAATACCTTAGCCAGCAGAATTCCCCAGCCAGAATTCTGGTTTGGGGAACTCTGGGAGTTGAAGTCCATGCATTTTAAAGCTCTCGAGGTTAAAGACAATTTCAGAATGACATCCCATTCCCCAAAGTTCATGTTCCTTCCCACTTTTCAGTTGCTATAAACTGGGCTGGGAGGTCTTGAATAATCTACCTCATTTTTACAGCTGATTTCTTATTTCCCAGTTTGCGATCAAACCAGCCATTCTACTCTTCGTTCTTACTTCCTTGCTTTCACAGGGGAAAAAAATGTGAAATCGATTGTGGGGAGTGTTTTACTTGTGATGGGCACTGCAGAATTGGAGGTCCATCTCTCATTGAGACATCCGTCAATTGCAGTCTATTCATTCTTCTCAAGCAGATTTTTTCTTTTTGTATAAAGATTCCAAGATGGAAACCAGAGATTTTTCCCTGGGGCCTAAATTTTGTTTTATGTGCTGGAACTCTCAACCATATAATTAGGAGCGAGATACTTGAGGGAGTTCTCCTTCCTACCACTTTTTTTTTTTTCCAAAAAATAAAAATAAAAAATCAAGACACAGAATAATTTTGGCTGTACTCTCACATCCCTTCTCATCCTTTATCCTGGCAATTCAGAACTTGTCCAGATAAGGAGCGTCTAAAAATATGTTCCATTCTGGATGGCATTTGCTCAGTTCTTTTCAACTTGTGTGGATTTTCCTTGGTAACAGATGATGTCTTCCCCCAACAAAGGACACTGCAGTTTATGGACTTCAGTTCCCAGAATTCCCTAACCATTCTAATAGTTAACAGAGAATTCTGGGAATGAAAATGTACATGTCTTGAAGGAGCCAGGATTGGAGAAGGTTGTTTTAGACTCATATTCCTGGTCTTGGAGGATGGAATATTTGCAAGGGAGACTTGTGTCAAGAAATTAGCTTTTCAGAGCACATTAAAAAGAGCACAAAAGGAATTTGCATGTGTCTCTTTTAAGGATGCTAAATTGTAAGGAGAAAGGAGTTAGCCTTGGCAGCTAAACTAGCTGAAATGTTTTACTATTGTACAGTCCATGTTTCACAAAGACCGAAGGGCTTGCTTTGTTTTCTATAAATTTACACCTTGGTTTAGCAGTTGTTCCGAGGTTCCAGCGACAAAACTTCACGGGGTGTATTCTTGTTCTCTTTTCCTATATCATGTTATGTTTTAATAAAACAAGATGCAAGTCTCCAAGCGGTATCTTTTAAGAACTTATCAACACTGCCAGGGAGAGATAATATTCCTCTGTGAGCTCAAGTAGGACTCCTGTTCCCTCAATGAGAAGATAAGCTTTTAGATGCCTTGGTAAGGCCACACTTGGAATACGGCATTCAGTTTTGGTCGCCACGATGTAAAAAAGATGTGGAGATTCTAGAAAGAGTGCAGAGAAGAGCAACAAAGACGATTAGGGGACTGGAGGCTAAAACATATGAAGAACGGTTGCAGGAACTGGGTAGGTCTAGTTTAATGAAAAGAAGGACTAGGGGTGACATGATAGCAGTGTTCCAATATCTCAGGGGCTGCCACAAAGAAGAGGGAGTCAAGCTATTCTCCAAAGTACCTGAGGGTAGGACAAGAAGCAACAGGTGAAAACTAATCAAGGAGAGAAGCAACCTAGAACTAAGGAGAAAATTCCTGACAATTAGAACAATGAATCAGTTGAACAATTTGCCTCCAGAAGTTGTAAATGCTCCAACGCTGGAAGTTTTTAAGAAGAAATTGGACAGCCTTTTGAGTGAAATAGCATAGGGTTCCCTGCCTGAGCAGGGGGTTGGACTAGAAGACCTCCAAGGCCCCTTCCAACTGTTATTCTAATTCTAACCTGTCTTTGCCATCCAAGATGCAGAAATGGGGCTTTTGGGAATACAGGCAGTCCTTGATTTACTATCGGTTGCTTAGTGACTATTCAAAGTTATGACATACCCACCCAAAGGAACTTAAGACCTGGTTCTGAAGTTCAGATGGCCACCTTCCCCTCCCCCCAGGGTCACAAGCCCTCCTAGTTGGGTGTTTGACAACTGACCTTCATTTATGACCATTGGCAGCATCACATGACCACGTTTTACTTTCCCCCTCCCCTTTTTTTTGTGTGTGTCAAAAACAGCTCATAGCGAACAATGGATTCGTTTTACAACGGCTACAAAAAAAAATAACGGGTCTGGTTATGTGATGACGTTGGTTTTATGATCATCACAACTTATGGACAATAGGCAGGGGCCCTTCTGGTCATTAAGTTGAGGACTACCAATACACAGATTCTTTCGAGCTCAGGGATCTCCAACCTTGGCAACTTTAAGCCTGTTAAGACTTCAACTCCCAGAATTCCCCAGCCAGCAAAGCTGAATTCTGGGAGTTGAAGTCCGCCAGGCTTAAAGTTGCCAAGGTTGGAGACCCCTGTTCTAGCTCACATGCTGGACCTTCCCTCTGTGACCGATTGACCTTAAAACCCCCCAACCTTTTTCTCACACGCACCAAGCATACCTTAACTTCAAAACGGTGTTTTGCTTTCATATTTTATTTTATTTCAAGAAAAATAAGACAAAAACTCCAGCATCTAATGGAGCTTTCCTTTTTGTTTTGTTTTTTTACTACGGCTACAAACAGACTAGGAACCAATCACACATACTTCCACCTGCCTTTCACCCAAATCTGAATTATAGGGAAGTCGGCGTGTGCTAGTTTGTGGGGAAGTGGAAAGATGTACTGCAGGTAGCCCTCGACTTACTTTCAGTTCGTTTTGTGACCGTTGAAAGTTACAAGAGCACTGGAAAAAGTGACACACAGATCATTTTCCCACTTAACGACCGTTGCAGCATTCCCCCACGGTCACATGATCAGAATTCAAACACTGGGCAACTGACTCATATTTATGACAGTGGCAGAGTCCCCGGGCTCATGTGATTATCTTCTGACCAGCAGTCAATGGGGAAGCCAGATTTTGTTTAATAACCGTGTTAACTAACTTAACAACTGCAGTGATTCGCTTAACAGCACTGGCAAGAAAGGTTGTAAAATGGAGCAAAACTCACTTAACAAATGTCTCGCTTAGCAACTGAACCTCTGGGCTCAATTGTGTTCGTAAGTCGAGGACTACCTGTACTAGGTTTTACCAGCTATTGAAAAAAAAAGTGTGTGTATTAATTGTGGATAGCAGTGAAAAGCGGACTTGAGTCTAGAAGAGCACGGGAGAGAAATGGGTGGAGAGAAAAATCCGAGAGGGAACTTAATATTCAATAATGAGTGCAAAATGGAAACTTTCGGTGTCTTTAGGCATGTGGTACAAGTAAACCAAACACATAGGAGTTAACAAGGAAGCAGGCTATAAAATTGTGTGTAGTACATGGTGAAAATAAAATTATACAGTCCCTTTTAGCCCGAGAAATTCATGTGTAAAATCTGCTTTCTATTCGTGCTACCGATGCATTTGCTTCACCCTTAATACACTACCCACACTAATCCTGAAGTGGCCTGAGGCATCTTTTGATGCAACGTGTAAACGACAAACCTAGACGGTGGCGTGAATTTGCCGATTTTTCTTGCTTCTACAACCCCTTTAAAACATAAATGTTGCCTACTCTTTCCTGGGATTTGTGCCTTAAGTGATCCCACTGGTGGATTTCACCAATTGACACGTTGTCAGACTCCGCTTTTGTTTTGTAAAACAAAAAAAATCAAAGAGATTTCTTCTTTAAAGTAGACACAACTCCTGTCCAATATGATGTGCTCAGTTCATGCATATTAAACCTCCCGATTTCCACGGCCAAAAGGTTGACTGGTCAAGGCAGCTGCAACGTAGCCCCCTGTATAATGCACAGTGAAGATACAAGTTATAGACCCTTGGATGACAGGTATGCTGAGTTCCACATTCTGACACAAGCATGCACCAGTTGAGCATAAAACAAAACTATACACGGCCACAGACAGAGATTTCTCCTTTTGTGCAAAACACACAACAGGTTCTGCTCTGGTGCAGGCATTCTCTAAATGCAATTAGTGTGGGAATCTCAATGGTGGGGTTTTTTTTGTTTTGTTGGCACGGAACTGACGTGGACAATGGAGGGACCAGGATTGTGTCTGGTGCGAACCGGAAGGTTAAAACTGAAGCAAAACAAATCGCGAAGGTGCAGAAGTCTGCATAACTTAAACCAGGTGGTAGAATAGGCCATCGGTCACTGCAGAAACAAGGTTACCAGAACAGCGTTCAGCATGGCGTGCACAACTTGGCCTCTTGAGGGGGAGCCTGTCCTGCGGCAGTTTTGCCATCAAAGCCGAGAACAGAGAAGTTATGGGTTGCTGGAGGTTACGGTGCAACCCTGAGCTCCACCATAACTTTCCATTATTTACAACGATCCCACAGCTACCAAGTTTTCAAATTATCCAAGTTTCTCCCTGCGCCCTCGCAGAGCCCAGCGGTTCCAACTTAGGGCCTGTCTCCACTGCTGTGGCTTTTGTCCTGGGCTAAGTCATCGCCTGCTTCTCCATCCTCGTGCACCCGTTGGTGAAGGGTGAGGTTGCGCAGCTGCCGGAAGCTCTTGCTGCAGCGCATACACGGGTAAGGCCGCCCCGCTGCGGTGGCCGCGTGGATCTGTTGATGAGCAGCCAGTTTGGAAGGGTAGCAAAAACTCTTCCCGCAGCGGCTGCAGGGGTACGGCCGCTGCCCCGTGTGCGTGCGGCGGTGGGCAGCCAGCTTGGAAGGATAGCAGAAGCTCTTGGGGCAATCGGCACATTTATACGGGCGCTCCGGCGTGTGAATCCACTGGTGGGCGGCCAGCTTGGAGCGATGTCCGAAGCGCTTGGGGCACAGAGAGCAGGGGAAGGGGCGCTCCCCAGTGTGCGTACGTCGGTGGGCGGCCAACTTGGACGGATAGCTAAAACTCTTGGGGCAGTCGGGGCATTTATAGGGGCGCTCGGCGCAATGAGTCCATTGGTGGGTGGCCAGTTTGGAGCGGTAGACAAAGCGCTTGCCACAGTCTTTGCATTGATAGGGACGATCGGAAGGCAAGACAGCGGGAGGCCGCCGCCGGCGGGGACGGGGTGGCTTGGGAGACTCCGTGGCGGGTGGGGAAGACAGAGTCGAGGGCGAAGGTGATTTGGTGTTCTCTTTCAAGGCCTGAGAATCTGGAAGGAAGGGAGAAAAAATTTAAAAATTAAATAAATAGAGGATTCCTTACCAAACACTCCATTTTCCTGCCTCAAATTTGTGCTGTTTGCCAATTATTCTGCAGGTAGAATACAAGCAGTCCTTGCTTAACAACCACTTGTCCAGCAACTAGTCAAAGTTACGATGGCCCTGAATGAGAGGGTTTTTATGACGGATTCTCATCATTGTGGCTGTTGGTGATGACGATTCGGTAAGCCGCTAGGCCATCGCCTTGCCATTGCAACATCCCAGCAACTTGTGGTCGCTGGGATGTCGCAGTTTTGACATCCAAATTTGGTTGCTACACAACTGGCAGCGTTTACGATGGTTGTAGCATCTCATGATTGCCATTTGTGACCTTCGCTGCCAGCCTCCGATGAGCAAAGTCAGTAGGGAAGCTGGCAGAAGATCATAGATGGTGATTCTGCGTCCACAGGATGCTACAACTGTGTAAGATTCGCCTAACGACAGCAATGGGGGACAGCAGGAACTGCCATCATTAAGTTGAGGCAGTCATATGAAGTTGTGCTTTATGACTGTCGCTTAGTGACAGAGTTCCCAGTCCCAATTACAGTCAGTAAATGAGGGCTACCTATATTTGACATTAGGCAGAGGTTAAATGGAGGGAATCGTGGTGGTTTTTTTTTAAGTATTTGCTGTTTTATCCAAAGAATGCATCGTGATCTTTTGGATTTGCACAATTTGGAGAAGCACAACTTTTTCCATTGTTTGTGCAAACAATACCATGTTTCCCCGAAAATAAGACCCTGTCTTATATATATATATATATATATATCCACCAAAAAAGGCACCATCTTATTTCCGGTGGGGGGAGGTGGGGATGTCATCCACTGACTCACCTCACTTGCGTGTGTCACCACCGGCATCCTTTTCGCTGTCAGAGGCCTTCAGGAACTTTTTTGGCCGGCAAGGCTTTCCTGAAGGATCGATCCGGAGCTCTGTTATTGGCTGCAGAGGCCTTCAGGAAAGCCTTGCCAGCTGCAGAAGAAATGGGCCAGCAAGGCAGGTTTCGGGGTGTGCGAGGCCTGGCTGCAACTGTCCGAAGGTAAGTAGTAGGGCAGCTCCACCCCCACATCCCCACCCTAATTTACCGTACTTTTCGGAGTATAAGACACACCTTTTTTACCCAACAAAGAGGGTGAAAATCTGGGTGCATCTTATACTTCGAATGTAGCCCCGCCCAGCCTCTCAAATGGAAGTTTCAGAGGCTGAAAAAAGCCTCTGAAAGAAGCTTCAGAAAAAAAGCCTCTGAAAGAAGCTTCAGAAAAAAAGCCTCCGAAACAGAGCTTCAGAAAAAATGCCTCTGAAACTTCAGAGGCTTTGAAGCTCTGTTTCGGAGGCTTTCAGAGGCAGAAAAAAAAGTTTTTTCTGAAACAGTGTTTCAGAAGTTTCAGAGGCTGAAAAAAAAGCAAGGCACAGAACTCACAACCAACAAACCTGTTTCTAAAATTCACCTTTGGGAACAGTTGATTGGGGGTATTCCGGGAGGCCGATCCACCTGCCAATCAGTTTTTTTCTTATTTTCCTCCCAAAAACTAAGGTGCGTCTTATACTCCAGTGCATCTTATACTCCGAAAAATATGGTAATTTTTACCTATGCACCCTGGAGTGGGTGAGGTCTTAATTAGGATTTATATTGGGTGAACATGTAAAAAAAAATCACACTAGGGCTTACTTTCGGAGTAGGTTGTATTTTCGGGGAAACACTGTAAAACAACCACATTCCTCGCCAAACTTTTCCTCACCTGTGACACTGCTACTCAGCGGGTTGCTCCCCACTCCGTTCTTGCTATTGCTCACGCAGGGCTTTTCCCCCCTTTCCAGCATGAGGACAAGGGTTGGTCGGGTGAGAATATAACCTGCAGGCATGGGAGTTGGGGGGTGGGGAGAGAATAAAGTGGGGAGGGGGAGTTGGAGAGAATTCAGGTTCACTTTTAAACAAGCTTTATACATCCTTTCAGAAAAGAAATCTACCCTAAACAAAACAGGGTTTGTTTTACCAAACGATGCATGCCTGAAAATTATCTCACTAACTACTAGAAATCTACTAGAACTGCCTCTTTTAGTGTCCGTTTGCAGTTTCAGCAGGGGTGAAAAAGTAACTTTGGGATCAGTCTTCCTATTTACCACCCACTCAGGTCTGTACAAGGTAGTCCTCGACTTATAATGGGTTGCTTAGCAACCATTCAAAATTACGACGGAGCCTGAAAATGGGATTTGTGACACGGATTCGAAGATCTGACATCTGCCCGCTCATCGCCTGAGGTCATGTGACCACATTTTGTGCACACGGCAAAATGGCCTGCATTTATGGCTGTTTGTGGCATTCATGTCACGTGACTCGGTCTTACGAAGTTTTTGTTAGAAACTGGTGTTTACTTCTGATTTCCGGCCAAAATGTGTAACCCAAACAATGGGTTCGCTTAATGACTGCCAGATTTGCTTAATGATCGCTGCAAAAAATGCTTGAAAAATCAGGCGTAGTCCTGTGGTTATTCACTTTATGACTGTTCTGGCCGGGGGATTCTGGGAGTTGAAGTCCACCCATCTTCAAGCTTCCAAGGTTGAGAAATACTGCCTTAGGGGCTCTCCCTGTATCTCACAAGGCCCTGGGATCCAATTACGGCGTGATTCTTCTATTGCTCAACTTGGCATAAGTGTGGAGTTGCTATGGCAACATGTTCAGAATACAGGCCGGAGAAGAGAAACTAGTATATTGATGGGAGAAATGAGATGTGCTACCAGAGTTCAGCTGCTCTGAGCAAAGGGGGAGGAGGGAAGGGAGGGGTGGGCAACAAGAAAAATGGGGGCTTGAACAACCAGAGATGAAGGATTCTCTGGAACTGGAGGGTACCCCCCCCCCATTTTATTGAATCAAAACTGTGCATTAGAAAATGCAAAACGTGGGAGATGCGGGTGCATTTCTACCCTGGCATCCACATACAGAAAGCCACGGAATGTGGACTATAACCCCCCACACACACACACCCCAAATTGCCTTGCCAGCGGCCAAGCTGGTGGAGGCCAGAGGATGCTGAAACGCAAAACATCTGGAAGCTCGTTCTTGGAACTATATGGCTCGAGGCGTCCGGAGAAAACTGCAGATATTAGAATTGCAGTTTCTAGGCAATTCTAGGCCGCAACCTGTCTAGAACTGCGAGGGAGGCTTTTAAAGATGCCAAATATCAAATTGAGAGTAGTTCACGGCATATCTTCGATTCCACAGAAATTGACAAATTCCTTGCTTAGCACTGGAAAGTCTGTTCCCAATTGTGGTCATAAGTTGAGGACCACCTGTCCTGTATAACAGGGGTCTCCAACCTTGGCAACTTTAAGCCTGTCGGACTTCAACTCCCAGAATTCCCCAGCCAGCAAAGCTCTCCTGTCGGACTTCAACTCCCAGAATTCCCCAGCCAGCAAAGCTCTCCTGTTGGACTTCAACTCCCAGAATTCCCCAGCCAGCAAAGCTCTCCTGTTGGACTTCAACTCCCAGAATTTCCCAGCCAGCAAAGCTCTCCTGTTGGACTTCAACTCCCAGAATTCCCCAGCCAGCAAAACTCTCCTGTCGGACTTCAACTCCCAGAATTCTGGGAGTTGAAGTCTGCCAGGCTTAAAGTTACCAAGGTTGGGGACCCCTGCTATATAACACTCAAGGCAGCCCATCATAGCCAATAAGAATCGATCAGAATTGTTGGCTCTCAGCTGGGGAGTCAGTCTGCCCCCTTCAAATGCTGTTTGTGGGAACCCAGCGTGCACTATTAGAATTTATTTCTCAGCAAACCTGCAAGGAATTGGGATACCATGGTGAAGGTTGGCGGGGCTGAATTCAGAAAAAGGGTGTCTGTAAATAGGGGTGATCAGAGATACTGCACCCCAGTTCATGCAAGCATTAACCACCACCCCCGCCTTTTAGCCTGCCCAGAAGGGTTCTGTATTCAAATTCTGATGCATTCTGATCAGCGGCGGCTGTCGCAAACCCCGATGGCGCCAAAACAATGACAGAAGTTACTGTATGTCGAGTGGCTTTGGATACGAGAGGCCTATACGTCTAATAAATAACCTAATAAAATAAAAGCAAGTGGTGCTTTTGGGTGTGATGACATCACCGGGATGTCATCGTCTGCCCAATTCTGGTTCTCCAACCCAGCATCGTTTTGCACCTAAAAAGGCCGCCATCCCATGAAATCAAGGCCCAAGCCCTATAAAACAAGAGCATGCGTGCCCCCCCAACCAGGTTTCACATAACCTAGAATAACAAAATTGGAAGGGACCTTGGGGGTCATCTAGTCCACCTCCCTTGCACGAGCAGGAGACCCTACAGACACGCTTCAGCTCAACCCGCTAACCCAGCTAGACATTCACCAAGGAGGAAGCCGCGGTTTAGTTTTAAACCCTGAGTTTGGCTGCTGAGCCTCTTCCTTTTCAACCTCCCTTTGCCAGAACCTAGTAAAATAGATGAATTCACTTCCCAGGGTTGTGTGTATTGTAATGAACGACGCTTGAGGAGGGGAGGGAAGAGAGATCCCCTCTGGATCTGTCAGGCTAACCCTTCCCCCCAACAGGCCGCTATTCTCACCCACTCACCCACCCCCAAACCAAACCCACCCACCCAATCCCTGCACCAATATGGCCTGAAATTGAGTGCCGGTGCGATCACAGATTTGCCCCCCCGACCAAAAGCAGATTTTGCTGCAATGCACCCGAGTTTAAAAAAAAAAAAAAGCCGGCTTTGCTTGTTTGCAAGCAGGGTGGGAGCGGGACGGATCTCCCCCTCCTCTTCCTCCTCTGTTTTTCGCCAGCCGAGAGCCCAGCATGAAGCCCAGCTGGATGGGGAGGGAGGGGAGCTTCCCACCATCATCCCTTCCCTCCCCAGCATCGCTTGCAACGGGCATGGTCCTCCCTGCATCCTTCCCTCCATCAGAGCATCCTTCCTGCCGTCACTCACCCGGCCGGGAATCAGTGCCGGCTTCAGGCTGCCTCTGGGGTCTTCCCTTCATGAGCCGATCGCGCCGGGTCATGCTGTCCCCGCGGGGAGCCGGGCGCAGCGCCCCACCGCATCCCTTCCAGAGCCGGAGCCAGGAGAAAGCGAGGCTTAAAACCCGGCAAGCCACAGGGAGGCTCCGCCGCGCTCGGCCAATGGGCACCTTCCCGTTATTTTCTCTCTCAGCAGAGAGAGGCAGGCAGGCGATGAGGTAGCTGTGACGGAAGCAGCTTTCCCTTGGCTGCCTTCACACAACCTGCCTGAACCCGGGTCAGCCGCTTCTGCGCATCTGGAGGTTGGGGGGAAGGTGCTTTTTTTGGTTTGGTTTCTGGTTGGGATTTTTTTTTTTTTTTGGCTAACCTCTTTCTTGCCTTTTTTGTTAAAAAAAAATATAAATAACTCAAAAGGCATTGAATACAGCTGGTCCTCGACTTACAACAGTTTCCGACCATCGGAAGTTGCCATGGCACTGGAAAAAGCGACTCGTGACCCTTTTTCAAACTTACGACCGTTGCAGCATGAGCCCCGTGGTCATGGGATATATATGGATGCTGGACAACTAGTTCGTTCTTATGACGGGTTGCAGTGTCCCGAGGTCCCCTTTTGCGACCTTCTCACCAGCAAAGTCAAAAGGGGGGGGGGGAGGGAAGGCAGATTTACTTAATGACCGTGTGACTAACGTAAGAACTTCTGTGATTCGCTTAACAACTGTGGCAAGAAAGGTCGTAAAATGGGGCAAAATTCACTTAGTAAATGTCTCACCTAGCAACTTATATTTTGGGCTCAATTGTGGCCGAACGTCGAGGATTACCTGTATACCTAATGCTCCTTCCTACTCTTTTCCCTACAACAACCCTGTGAGGTGGGTCGGGCACAGAAAGAAGAAGGTTCCTCCAACTGGTTTTCATGCCTAAGGTGAAACTGATTGTTTCTTGGTTTTTAGCCTGGTCCAGAAACTAAATGAAGCTCTTGTGTGAATGCAGCCAGAGGCAGCAAGGTAACCCATCCCTGAACAAGTCTTCCTCTTGGCCTCCCCCGCCAGTTGTGTGTACAGTCTGTGGCAGAGCTTATACATCCTGCTAAACCTTGGTTTGTTCAATTACAGACAGGTAAAACTTATGCTAAACCTTGGTTTGTTCAATGACAGACAGGTCAAAACTTATACATCCTGCTAAACCTAGGTTTGTTCAATTACAGCCAGCTAAATCTCCTAAATCATGTCAAACCCTGGTGGCTGGATCAACAAGCCACATTACAGCTTGTAATCACAGCCTCTCTTCCCAGTTCCCACTCCAGATGACTCTTAATTCCTATCTTAGTTTTCTCTTCCAAGAAAGCCAAAGCTGGATATTTCTAGTTTTCTTCCATTTTCTATGCAACCAAAATCCTTTGGATGATTTGCAAAATTAATCAAACATGACTTTTTTTACCAATCATGTATGTTTTTGGGGTCATGGCTTTCAACTCGCTGGTTGGGAATACTGGGAGTTGTAGTCCCACATGCTAGGAAACCAGAACGAGGCGACTATAGGATCCTGGGGTTAAGTTGCAGAATAAGAGCAGCATAATGTCATGAGGATTTCTTGGAATTTGATCTTTGTAATCACACAGCTGCGGATCTTCTCCCGATCCCCGCCTTTAGCAATCATGATCCCGCAACTCGGGCCCAATTCACACAAGACGCCCTTGTTTCTGGGGATCCAAAAGCATAAAAAAAAAACCTAACCAAATTTGCATTTACAGATGGATTGCATGCATACCCAGCAGGCTAAATCTGCCCTAGAACTAACCAAGGTTTGCAGCTGGTTGCCAATGCAACCCCCGGGGTTTGCTTATCCAGGTTGTGTGAATGCAGCCCCCCCGGGGTTGGGAGGGGAGGGTTTGCGCCCGATCCTAACAAGCGCGCCTGCAATTTGTCCACGTGAGCTTTACTCAGGATAGCAAGCAAGCAAGCGGAAGAAAGGGAGGGGGGGAAAAAACTCATTTCAAGTTATGTGTTTTTTTTAAAAAAAAAAAATATGCATGCCCCTTTTTAAAAACCGAGGACAGAACGAAACGTTCAGCAAACACGCAACCCCGGCCGCGCAAAAGCCACGCGAGCGAAAGGAACGCATCGATTCTACCTGCAGGGAAATCAACTGAGCCAAACCGCGTTGAGAAAATGTTCGCCTGGACGCAACCACGTTCCGGGATGAGCCCCCCCTCCGTCTCTTGGCCTTATGGTTTCGCCCAAGGAGAGAGGGCAAAGGAACGACGTCGAACGGCGGCCGGTAAGGGACAAAATTTAATCTCGTTTGTTTTTAAGAAGCGCGTCCGGAATTTTTTCGGAAACTTGGCGTGGCGAGTTAAATGAGTGTCCCGATACCGCAGGGTGGTTGTTGTTTCTTTTCTCACGGACCCTGAGTTTTAGTTGTAATCGGGCATTTGGAAAAAGTGAAGTTTCACCGGGCTCAAAACCCTTTCAGCAATTTTTATTTATTTATTTTATTTATTTATTTTGTCAAGCATATATAAGATTACATCATAATAGTAATAGTAATAATAGTAATAATAATAATAACAACAACAACAACAATAATAATAACAAAACAACAACAATAACAAAACAACAACAACAACATGTTACCACCAACAACAACAACATGTTACCACCAACAGCAACAACAACAACAACAACATGTTACCACCAACAGCAACAACAACAACAACATGTTACCACCAACAGCAAATGCCGCCTCTGCAATGAGAAAGATGAGAGAGTCGACCACCTGATCAGTGGGTGCAGCAAAATTTCACAAACTGACTACCTACAACGCCATGACGGTCTTGCTAAGATCATTCACTGGAAATTGTGCCAGAAGTTTGGATTTGAGTACAGCAAAAACCACTGGGAACATCAGGTTGAGAAAGTTTTAGAGAATGAGAAACTCAAGATCTTGTGGGACTTTAGGATTCAGACTGACAGGCACTTGGTCCACAACACACCTGACATAACAATAGTTGAAAAGAAAAAAGTATGGTTCATTGACATTGCAATACCTGGTGATGCACGGATTGAAGATAAGCAGCAAGAAAAAATCACAAAGTACCGGGACTTGCAAATTGAAGTTGAGCTACTGTGGAAAAAGAAATTGTGTGTTGTCCCGATTGTAATTGGAGCCCTTGGAGCAATACCCAAAGGGCTACCCCGCTATTTAGAAATTCTAAATTTGCCGGACTTGAACATTTTGACTCTACAAAAAACCACCTTACTCAGAACAGCTTACATCCTCCGACGATACCTTAACAGTTCCTAGGTCCTTGGTTAGGACTCGAGCTGCTGAGCTATTAACCAGCCTCAAAGGCTGTGAATCTCACTAAAGATTAACCAATAAATAATAATAATAATAATAATAATAATAATAATAATTATTATTATTATTATTATTATTATTATTATTATTATTATTATTATTATTCAATACCAGTCATTTGGTATTTGTGACACATTGTGTCAACACCAGTTGATTGAGTTTCATTTTTAATGAATAAAAGAGAATAATAATTCAAATTTTGACCGGAAAACACGCAAACTTTTGAATATGTACCAGCTTTACATCCACGAAGTGACATCGACAGGTTGTACCTGGCAAGAAAAATAGGGGGTAGAAGAAGAAAAACGAAGTTTGAATGATTACATGAACCAAAGTACCAAAAAATTGCTGCAGGCTGTGAAAATGGAGAACATTATAAAAACAACAGAAACAAAGACAGAATATAAGGAAAAACAGCTGGATGACAGATTAAATAGATGGGAAATTAAAGCTTTGCATGGACAGCACTTGAAAAACATTGAAGGAAAATGTGATGACAACTTTACATGGGCATGGCTTAAGATGGGAACCATCAAGAAAGAAACGGAGGGTTTAATACTCACTGCTCAAGAACAAGCACTACAAACTAATGCCATGAATGCAAAGATACAAAAATCCACTGACAATCCAAACTGTCGACTTTGCAACAACAAAGTCGAAACTGTTTCACATTTAATATGCGAATGCAGCAAAATCGCACAAACTGATTACAAAGCTAGACACGACTGAGTTACTAAATTAGTCCACTGGTCATTATGTAGAAAATACGACTTTCCTGTATCCAAAAAGTCATGAGAACATAAAGTGGAAAAAGTTATAGAAAATGAGAAGGTGAAGATCTTGTGGGACTTTCGAATACAGACTGATCGTCACTTGGAACACAATACGCCAGTTATCACAGTTGTCGAAAACCGAAACATACAATTTATTGACATTGGGGTACCAGGAGACACCAGAGTCGAAGAAAAAGAACTGGAAAAAATCATGAAATATTGCGACCTGGCCATCGAAACTACACAGAGGGGTTTTTTTTTAAAGAAAAAGTAACTGTATTTACAGTATTATCAAAACCAACAAAATCTGATTATGGGATTGCATCATGTACTGCCTTGGTGCATGTACAATCTTTCCCCAATTTCCCTCAGTATGAATCACAGAAATGATGCAAATTATGCTCCGGTGCGTTTCTGAACATTTAGTCTAGATTTTTTTTTTTTTTTGACATTTGGCTGACCCCACATTAAAATGGTGCAATTGCCGGAATTAGGGACTCTTACATCACCCGTCTCATGACAGTGCAAAATAGGAATTGCATGTTGTACTTGCTACAGCACTCTGCCCACCTTAATGGGCTGCTTGCTCGCTGGAATTCCCAAAAGCATCTCTGAGAAAAAGACAAAGTTGTAATACCACACAATTGAAGTTGGCAGCTCTTTGTCCTACAAAAGAAGGAGGTTTGTACAAAAAAGCTGCATGTAGTAACTTAACAACTCGTAAAAGCCAGTTTGGTCTAGTGGCAAAGGAACCATGCTAGAAAACCAGGAGATGGTGAGTTCTAGTCCCACCTTAGCTTGAAGAATCACCTAGGTGCCAATCACTCACAGGCAAGCCCATCTCACAGGGTTGTTGTTGGGAAAAACAGGAGGAGGAACGAGTATTGTGTGTCTTTGCTACCTTGAGTTGCTTATAAAGAAATAAAGGTGAAATAAAAATCAAATAAAATTGTTCCTAAGGTTATTGGAGGCTAGTCATAATTAAGTGCTAATCGCTACCATTTCAGCACTGTCCTCACCCACTCAAAGACAAAATCTGTGCATGCGCAGAGGGTAAAAACACATTACTTCCTGGTTAAAACCAGGAAGTAACAACACCCAGGGGGTGGGCGGAGTCTCGCGCCACCATCGCTACCAGTTCTCCGAACCCTCTGCCACAATCGCTACCGGATCGTCCGAACTGGGAGCATTTCACTCCTGCCCCAACCCCTTTTAATTCTCCAAGCACTAGAGGACAGGTGAGGCAGTCCCCTAAGGAGGTTTTGGTCTTGTTCAGTGCTTTGTTGCCATTGTACATTGTAGCTTTGTATTTTTAGTTGCTAATTTTTAAAACTTTTTAAATTAATATTATGCACTTTTTATTAATATTATGCATTTATGTTGTACAGTCCCCAGAGTCACACGGCCTGAGGGGTGAAATGCTCCCGGTTCGGACCAAGTCTTCCGATCCGGTAGCGATGGCGGCGGGTGGTTCAGAGAACTGGTAGCAAAAATCCCTGCCCCCCACCCTCCATGCCCAGCTGAGCTGTGCGATCATCAGAGGCCGAAAAAATGCTTTTAAAAGAAAACAAAAGCCTCTGACGATCAGGCAACTCAGCTGGGATCATCAGAGCCTTTTAAAAGCATTTTTTAAACAACCTCTTCGACCCAAAGAGCGTTTTTTTTTTTTAATTTGATTTATATGCTGCCCTTCTCCGGAGACTCAGGGCAGTTTACAATGCGTTAAGCAATAGCCTTCATACTTTTGTATATTTATACAAAATCAGCTTATTGCCCCCACAAACTGGGTCCTCATTTTACCTACCTTAGAAAGGATGGAAGGCTGAGTCAACCTTGAGCCTTGGCGAGATTCGAACTTGCAGTAATTGCAGGCAGCTGAATGTTAATAACAGGCTATTAGTCTGCTGCGCCACCAGGCTCTTACCAGGTTGTAGAAAAAATGCTTTTAAAAGTAAAAAAAAAAAGTTGGCCATGCCCACCCAGTCACATTACCCCCCCCCTCCCCAAACCATGCCCACAGAACCGGTAGTAACAAATTTTACATTTCACCACTGCCCCAGAGTCACATGGCCTGAGTTGAATGACCTTGTAACTCTTGAAATAAATAAATGTGTCAGCATGACAAAGGAAGACTCCAACTGTACAGTTGCAACTAGCATATTGACTTTTTCAATGACGTTGCATTGGCCGGATGCCAAGACATGATTATAGGTGATCCTGACTTAGCTAACATTGATATTGAAACGTGGGGGAGCAGTGGGAATGAGCGGGAAAGCACAATGGTAGCTCCTATGTTTTGATATTCAGAGAAATGCAAGAGATTAAAAGCCTGTACGAAGAACAGTTGCAGGAACTGGGTATGGCTAGTCTAGAGAAAAGAAGGACTAGGGGACACATGATAGCAGTATTCCAGTGTTTGAGGGGCTGTCACAAGAAGAGGGGGTCAATCTATGCTCCAAAGCACAAGAAGGCAGGAGAAGAAGCAATGGATGGAAATTAATCAAGCAGAGAAGCAACCTGGAATTTAGAAGAAACTTCCTAACAATGAACAATTAACCAGTGGAACAGCTTTGCCTTCAGAAATTATGGATGCTTCATCACTGAATAGGGTTGCCAGGTCTGCTTCCAAAAAATAGCGGACAAGCGGGGGGATGGGGGGTGTTAAGTAGTAAAAAAAATAATAATAATACAATTAAATTATATATTTTCTTACAAACATTTTAACACGTATTAAAATAATCACTTCAAAACTTTACTTAAAATTCAAAACATCAAATATATTATAATAATATGTAAAATATTAAATTACATTTTACTTTGCTGTCGTGTGTATTTTTTATTTGACTGCGCAGCTTTGATCAATTCTTTGTGTTTAAGGAATAATTCTTTAATTTCAGTACAACGTTGAGAAATATTAAAAAATATACAAAGTTCACTTCGAACTGATGGTACAAGCGGTCGGTTACGTTCGTCAGTCCACAAATTTCCCATGACGCTGAAAATTCGTTCAATGTTTGCATTTGATACCGGAATTGATGCACAATACTGGAACAGTTTCAGTAAACTCGGAGCTGGCTCTTTCTTGAAAAAGTACGTCCACTTATCAAGGGACGAATTGCCCTGCAGATGAACATGAACTTTGGTGTATTTGCACACTCCTCTCTTTTGTTTTAAAGAATTCGAAATCTCGCCGCTGTCACTCTCATCACTCGACGCCATTTTAGGTCAGTCGACACAAGCTACAATACATTTTAAAAATGTGAACTGTACATAATTTTATAATATATTTTTATTTTAATCTCATCATTAATTTTTTCGGAGACTCGAGTTCAATGGATATTCGATCTTTGTCTCATTCTAACTTATGAAAAAAAAAGACAAAACCCGATTCTCCTATCCTTATTCTCTTAGACTGTACAGCTTTAGATTAAGTACCATTTCATCATAAAGCTTTTGAATAAAAAAAAAATGTCCACTATTTTGTGAAAAAAAATAGTGAACATAATGTGAAAAAAGCAGACTGTCCGCTCAAATAGTGGACACCTGGCAATCCTATCACTGAAGGTTTTAAAGTTTTTAAGAAAAGACTGGACAGTCACTTGTCTGAAATTGTATTGGGTCTACTACTTGAACAGGGGGTTGGACTAGAAGACCTCCAAGGTCCCTTCAAGCTCTACTATGATTGATTGACAGTTATGCTCCCTTCTGCATATTCTTTGTACCAGTTTATATATCTTTCTTACTGAAAGATCCCCGTCATCAAAAATCTCTAGAGAGAACAGAAAATTCCATAGTCTTACAGAATAACCCATGACTTGAAGAAGGATAGCTAAAAAATTAGACCATACAGAGTAGATTTCTATTTTTTTGTGTGCTTTGCCCTGCTTTTCAAACATACTTTGGAGCAAAGACCATTGATAAAACAGTTTGAAGAGAGATGGAGCGTATGGGTGAATAAATAACTTAATTCATGAACTGGTAAAAGTCACACCCATGTTTATTATTCACCGTTTTACTCCAGCAATGTGAATTTTCAGGCTTCGTGTGACTTCGAGGTCAACAGAACAACCCTTCTTATCACATATGCTATCTTGGGTTCATACAGTCCACTCAATTCAATTCAATTCAATTCAGTTGGCTAGTTTCTTATTCAGAATGTCATATGAGTCAACCAGTAGACTAAGGAGAATTCAAAGGAGAAAGAAAAAAAAAATCTGAAGACTTTATGCAATCGGGTGAGTCTGTGTGAACTGATACGTTTATTCAAAGAAGGCAGTTTTAAAAAGTAGAAAATGTATATCTCTATTCCAAAGAAGGCAGTTACGTGACTCTAGGCAAGAGTTCTATGGCAGTCGGCTTAAATCAAGGCTGTCAGAATAATTTATGATGGCATCACTGCCTTAAGAAAGTCACATGTTAACCCTTGCTCTTACAACCATGGGGAAAAAAAAAAAATTTGCTAAGGAAAGATGGGACAATAATTACCGCTTAATTGCTCTTGATTTTCTGGAAAGGGCCTTGTTTTGTTTGCCTTCCGTTGGCACATCCGAAGAAGCAACTTCATGGCGGTGAAAATTACCAGGACGAACCGGTTCACACTCAGGCTGTTTTTCCTACAATATCTCACTCTCACCCAGCTGGAAAATGCTATTGGTACAAATAAAAGTTAATGTGCAAAGGTTTTCTGTTGACCTAGCCAACTGCCTTCCACCCATAGCAAATCCACTTTGGCAAATCCACTATAGCAAATCCACTTTGGATTTGCAGGGGGTTGGACTAGATGACCTCCAAGGTCCCTCCAACCTCCAAGCTCTGTTACTGTTAAAAGTTTGGAAACTTCATAACTGTGTCTGGATTATTGCTGTCGCTGGAAGAATTCGTTCCTACAAGTCCCAGCGTTCCTCCTTTATGGCCCTTGCCGGCAGAGGCTGCTGGGAGTTGTAGTCCTGTCGCGATCTGGAAGGTTTGCGGCGCTGCTGGCTCTTTAAGGAGGCGCGTCTCTTCCCCTCCAGCCCAGCCCAGCCGAGTCAATGTTAAAGGGCGTCGCTTCGCCCTTCGCTCCGGTTCCTCGAAGGCTGGCACGGCATCAAGAGAGGCACCACCCGACCATGAAGCGGCTGCTGCTCCGGAGATGCCCTGCGGCTGCCCTGCGGCTCCTGAACCAGCCGCTTCCCCCGCAGCGATGCTACTGCGCCGGCTCTGCCCAGCGACGGGGGCTGCTCTTCCGACAGGTGAGCTCCGACAGGTCTTTAACAGTAACAAGAGTTGGAAGGGACCTTGGAGGTCATCTAGCCCAACCCCCTGCTCATTCAGGCAGGAGACCTGTACTATAGGGATTCGAACCGCCGAACTGCCGACCTTTCTGATGGACAAGCTCAACGTCTTAGCCATTGAGCCACCTAGCCAGGCACCCACCAGGTGCTTCGCAGCATCTTAAGGGGCCCGAAGGCTTCTGCTCTCTTGCTTTCACTTTGGGCTTTGGATCTTGCCCGCCAGGCCACCCGGCCGGAGGAGGGAGGGGAGGATGGGTATTGTAATCCAAGGCAGGTGGAGAAAGGCATGGGCGTGGGGAAAGAGGTAGGATTGGAAATGTTTGCCTGGTTTTGGAGGTGGTGGGGTGTGGGGGGGGGGGGGGCTCAACGTTTCCTTTCTGAAAAGTTCCCCCCGGGATTCTTAACCGTGGCATAACAGGAAATTCAAAGATTTGGGGATTTTGGGGGGGTATTTTATTTATTTATTTCATTTTATTTAGTTAGTTTGTCAAGCGTGTGTGAGAAAACAAGTATAAGTATGAACATAGCGTATAAACATATAAGTATAAACAGGTATCTTTATAAAGATAAAGAAGATAAAGAAAGAAACATATAAGTATAAACAGGTATGAGTATATACATAATAATATGTATATTATTATACATATTATACATGTCCAATGAGGACCCGGTGTGTGGGGGCAATAACCTGATTTTGTATAAAATAGAACACCGCTTAGGGGCCCCCAAAAGCCCTACTATGCAGGTATATACAAAAGTATGAAGGCTATTGCTTAAAAGCAATGTAAGCTGCACTGAGTCTCCGGAGAAGGGCAGCCTATAAATCAAATAAATAAATAAATAAATAATAAATCACACTCCTATCCTATCCTATCCTATCCTATCCTATCCTATCCTATCCTATCCATCCTATCCTATATATCCTATCCTATCCTATCCTATATTATTATACATATGTATATGTGTGTGTGTGTGTGTGTACATATATATATATATATAAATATAAAAATATATATAAATATATATATATATATATATATATATATATATATATATATTATATATATATATATTCTTTTTCGTAGGCTTTTATGTGCATTTCTTTCTAGCCAGTAATTTTGTTAGTGCAAAATGACTACTGGCATAAGCCTGATGATGGCAGATGGGATTCTGCCGAAACGTCGCTTCTACCCTTTTAGGGATATATCCACAATTACACGGGAAGAAACCCGAAATATTAACTATACACATATATATATATGTATATATATATGTATGTGGGGAAATGGAGCTTCGCATGCTGGTTCTCTTGTTTTAAAGATGGGTATTCAGAGTATTAAAATGAATATTTCTACCCTGCCGAGGCTTCTTTTTTACCCTGCCGAGGCTTCTTTTTTTTTTTTAATTTTAAAAAACAAACTTTATTGAATTTAAAAATATTGACAAGAGAAAAAGAGAAAATATACAAATTTTCTCACTCATAAAATTTACATTTTCAATCCACAATTACACTAAGAAACTAAATATATGTGATTATATCAACACATATATACAAAGAGGCTTCTTATGGAAGGCTTTTAAAATTGCTTCCTCTTTCCAGTACGGAGTAGGGGTGCTACAAGTCTTATTAGTTAGCAATAGCAATAGCACTTAGACTTATATACCGCTTTACAGTGCTTTATACTAAGCGGTTTAGAGAGTTAGCCTACTGCCCCCAACAATATGCTAAATCTAGGATCCATGTATTTAGTCTTTCTTAAGGAATAAAGTCTGAAGTAATCTCTTTACAGACTGGGGAGTTTGCAATGTTTTGGTCACCACACTATAAAAAAGAAGTTGAGCCTCTAGAAAAAGTGCAGAGAAGAGCAACCAAGATGATTAGGGGACTGGAGGCTAAAATATACGATGAACGGTTGCAGGAACTGGACATGGCTAGTCTAGGGAAGAGAAGGACCAGAGGAGACATGATAGCAGTCTTCCACTATCTCAGGGGCTGCCACAGAGAGGAGGGGGTCAAACTGTTTTCCAAAACACCTGAAGGCCAGACAAGGAATAATGGATGGAAACTGAACAAGGAGAGATTCAACCTGGAAATAAGGAGAAATTTTCTGACAGTGAGAGCAATCAATCAATGGAATAGCTTACCTTCAGAAGTTGTGGGAGCTTCCTCCTTGGAAGCTTTCAAGAAGAGGCTGGACTGCCATTTGTCAGAAATGGTGTAGGGTCTCCTGCTTGGGCAGGGGGTTGGACTAGATGACCTACAAGGTCCCTTCCAACTCTGTTAATCTGTTAATGTAACAGCTTCTCTGAGAGATGCAGGCAATAAAAACCAGCTAACTATGTAATTAATTAAAATTCAGGATGCAGATTTAATATGGTTAGCAATTCATGTAAGGCGTTGGATACAATGGAAATTTAGTAGTTTGCTTTCATTTAATAATAATAATAATAATAATAATAATAATAATAATAATAATATATAATAATTTTTAAATGTTCAGTTTAATGAATAAAAGAGATAATAAAAACCAACAACAACAACAACAATTTTTTTTTTTTTAATTTGATTTATATGCCGCCCTTCTCCGGAGACTCAGGGTGGCTTACAATGCGTTAAGCAATAGCCTTCATACTTTTGTATATTTTATACAAAGTCAGCTTATTGCCCCCACAAACTGGGTCCTCAATTTACCTACCTTAGAAAGGATGGAAGGCTGAGTCAATCTTGAGCCTGGGGAGATTCGAACAAGAACAACAACAACAACAACAACAACAACAACAACAACAACAACAACAACAACAACAACAATAATAATAATAATAATAATAAATAATAATAATAATAAATAATAATAATAAATAATAATGATGATGCTGACAGCAACCCGTATCAACCATTAGCACCGGTCAATGGTATTTGTGATGCAGTTTTGAATGTTCAGTTGACTGAGTTTCATGTTTAATGAATAAAATAAATAATAATAATAAATTAAATGTTTCCAGGGCTAGAGCAGGGGTCTCCACACTTGGCAACTTTTGGACTCCGATTCCCGGAATTCCCCAGCCACCATGGCTGGATACAGTTGGACTGTTTTGCTTGCCCTTCCATGGACTAAGTTCTTGTTGGTTTTTTTCCCCCCTTCACCTACCAGCTCTTTGAGTCAGAAAGTTACACTTACACTTACCTGCTGGCAGATATGAAGACAAAAGAAGCCGTTCTAATAGACCCCGTTTTGGAAACGGCCAAACGGGATTCAACCTTGGTGAAGCAACTTGGACTTAATTTGCTATATACAGGTGAGTTGTTTCTTCTTGGGGAAAAAAAACAACAACAACAAAGGAAAGGAAAACCACAACCAGGAATCATGGTCTGTCAGGATCTTCAGAAAGTAGCCATGATATAATTGGAGATGGATAATTGAACGGAGGTGGCAGTGGTGCTTGGTAACCTAAGAACTGGTGTTCAACCTCTCTGGATGTTATCAGCCGAAGGAAGATTGAGCTCCTTTTAAAGGAATGTCTTTCCTTTTTAAGAAAACAGATTTGAGACTGAAAATAAATTCTAGGGCTGTGATGGCGAACCTATGGAACGCATATCGTCACCGCTTCCGGCTCGGGAGAACCGGGCTGAACCAGGAGGAACCCACCACCGGGTTGAAGGTCTGGGCTATTCCCAGGCCATTCCAGCAGTGAAATAGGATTATCTCGAATCTCCAAAAAATAAAGTGGTGTTATTAGCCATCAAACCTCAAAAATACACTTTCCCCCCCAAAAAAGGTTTCCACAATTTTGGCCACTACTGTACAGTATAAGAGTACTGGCCAAAAATCAGTTTTCCCCAGTGCCATTGTAATGTGAACAAATGGTTGTAAATTAAGGACTACCTGTATTGAAATACACTCATCTGAAAGGTGGCCATATTGTAAAAAGCTGGGTTAGATCCTTGATCTTGTGTCTTTTAAGAAAACAACCATGTATTTCTCCTTCTTGTTGTTAGTTAACACCCATTGCCACGCTGATCATATCTCCGGCACGGGGCTCCTGAAGCAGCTCCTTCCGGGCTGTCGCAGTGTCATCTCCAAGGACAGCGGGGCCATTGCTGATCTCCTGATCCAGGAAGGCCATCACCTCAAATTTGGAGCTTTTGTAAGTCTGTGAACAGATTCCTGGAGAATAAGTAGCATATACAAGAACTGGACTAAGATTCCTTCACCTTGGCTACTGGTAGCTCTTGACTTACAATTGTAATGGACTGTCTGTCAGGGTTCTGAACGGATACCCTAATTAAATCATGAGTCTTGAGCTTCAAAAGAAATCAAGATATTTATTAGGAGCTTCATGTCGGCACTTTCCCAAGCGAAGCCAGCTCTGACCCTACGTAATTTACGCTCCAATTATGATCCTGTTTCCCTCCTCCCCCCCAGGATTTGTCATCAATCACATTCACCAACGGAGCAATTTCCCGGGTTGTAGAGGTCACTCCCCTTCGACTGCTGTAGGTATCCCTGGGATACAGCCTTGAGGGAGATAAGCGTGGAATGTGCATCTGTTTTTTGCTGTTGTGCAGTTTCGCCACCACCCCCCGGCCTAGGGCAACCCGAGAGTAGGCCAGGGATGCTTTGCGAATTGATACTGTCCTTAAGTTGTGACGATTGTAAAACAGTTTGGTCACATGACCGACCCGATTTTACGACCTTTATTGTTGTGGTGGTTAAGTGAATGCCACAATTGTTAAGCGGACCTGTTCTTTCTTCATGCTTGTTCCCTTTCCCTGAATTTGGTTCAGTTTTTCTAAGTCCTTCATAAATTGTAGACATAATATGTGAGAGGGAGCCTGCCCAGCACACAACGGAATGAAGCTGCTAGTTCCTCTCATTTAGAAATAACGCATTTATCACTTCCTGCACTCCACCCTGCCTCCTCGTTTATTTTCCAACAATTCACCAACAGGCTTGTTTAATTCTCCCGTACTTCTGCAAACCTCCCCTTGAATGGATTTACTTCCTAGGAGCTACCTTTGGGTTCCAGTCCTGTGGAAGTTTTATCTTTCGAATTCATTTTAGACAGCTGGATGATCTTAAGATTTGAGTGCAAAGTCGTTGGTTTAGTTTCAGAGCCCTTGTTTGACCATGTGCTCAGTTTGGGCAAAATTGAAATTCTCCCCTGTGCAACAAGAGGAAATGTAGCTTTGCCTGCCCTTTCATCATCATCTTTTAACGACCCCATAATTCCTTGCAGAGTGGAGTCTGGGCAACTGAATTGAGCTAGCAGAGTGTTTTAATGGCCGGATGCCCTTCCTGTCACCAATGCGGAGTTTTGTTCAGCAGATATATTCTCAGTGTGTATTCTCTACCTAGGCTCGAACTCACAGCCTCCTGATTGTGATGCGAGAGCTCCACTTCTAGGCCACCGCACCACTCCTTTTGCCTTCCCTTTAATGAGAATTAAATGGCAACGACTCTTAAAATATGATTTGCATGAAGTCATTTAGTGACTGAAGTTACGACGGGCCCCGAAAAACGTACTTATGATGAAAAAAGTGCCGTATTTTTCGGCGTATAAGACGCTCCGGACTATAAGACGCACCTACCTTTTTTGGTGAGGAAGACAAGAAAAAGAAATCTGCCTCTGCCTCCCAGCCATTTTGCCTCGTTGCCGCAAACAGCAAATAAGCTGACTTTGTATAAATATACAAAAGGATGAAGGCTATTGCTGAGCACATTGTAAGCCACCCTGAGTCTCCGGAGAAGGGCGGCATATAAATCAAATTAAAAAAAAAAAATAGCCTGCTTTACTTTCATTTTCGTTTTCAGCATAGCTTGATTAGCACAAGAAAAAAACAAAATCTGCTCCCAGCATTTTACCTCCTTGCAGCAAGCAGCAGCAGAGGCCCGTGCAAAACAGCTGAGAGTCGGGAGGCCGATCCAATCAACTTGTGCTAATTAGGCTGTGCTGAAGCTGAAAGGAGCTGTTTCTTCCTGCTGCAAGGAGGTAAATTGCTGGGAGGCAGAGGCCAAAGGGTGGGGGCCAGAGGGTGGACGAGGCTACATTCGGTGTATAAGACGCACCTAAAATTTTCACCCCCTTTTAGGGTTTTATTTTCAGGGAAACAGTGTAGTTCCTCTACTTTAGGGAAGGGAACAAGAACAGAGTGCTAATATAAAACGTGAGACAGGCTCTAAGAATGTTAGTGACATTCTATTGTGTTTCCAGGCATTACAAGCTCTTGCCACCCCTGGCCATACGGACGGCTGCCTGACCTACGTGCTGAATGATGAAACTATGGCTTTTACAGGCGATGCTTTGCTGATCAGGGGATGCGGCAGGACAGACTTCCAACAAGGTATGGAAAACTTAGGGATCTGGTTACGAACCCTATGTCAGCTTTGCAGCTCGTGAGAGAGTGGAGGTTTTTATACAGGTAGTCCTCAAGTTACAACAGTTCACTTAGTGACCTTCAAAGTTACAACACCACGAAAACAAAATTACAATGCCACGGATTTAGGACCATTTTTCCACACTCAGGACTGTTGCAGCGTCCCCCACCCTATGTTCATGTGATTTACATTCGGATGCTTGACAACCGACTCGCAGATATGACGGTTTTGCAGCATCCCGGGGTCACGTGTGATCCCCTTTGGCAATCTCCCGACGAGCAAAGTCCACGTGGAAAGCAGCTTCACTTAACAACCGTGTTACTAATTGAACAACTGCGGCGATCCCCTTAACAAAGGTGGCAAGGAAAGTCGTAAAATGAGGCAAAACAAATTTCTCCCTTAGCAACATAAATTTTGGGGCTCAACTGCAGTGGTGAAATCCAAATTCTTTTACTACCGGTTCTGTGGGTGTGGCTTAGTGGGTGTGGCAGGGGAAGGATACTGCAAAATCCCCTTTCTCTCCCCACTCCTGAGGGAAGGATATTGCAAAATCTTCATTCCCACCCCACTCTGGAGCCAGCCAGAGGTGGTATTTGCTGGTTCTCCAAACTATTCAAAATTTCTGCTACCGGTTCTCCAGAACCTGTCAGAACCTGCTGGATTTCACCCCTGCTCAACTGCAGTCATAAACTGAGGAATCTCTAAGAAGAGTTCAGAATTCTGACCCCTTGACTTTAACTTCCTTGTTCTGCACAACATGTAAACATCGTAGGGCTCCCGAAGGATGAGCAAAGTCCACTCTTTTTTTTTAGAAAAAGTTGTTTTCCACTTGAAGAGGAATCTTATGCCTTTGAAACTGGATTTATGGATACCTATTTCCTCCAGGTGACCCAAAACTCTAGTTGCTCTAGACCAGGGGTGTCAATCTCAAGGCCTGGGAACCGGAACCGGCCTGCGGGGTGTTTAGATCCGGCACACGGGGCCGCCCTGGAAATAGCGAAGGACTAACCCGCGATGCCTCTGCTAGTCATAACGGAGGTCGGGAGAGCCGTGTAAAGGAGGCCGTCTCAGCTGAAAAAGAAGCTTGGGAGCCCATTTTTGCTGGCAGAGAGCTTGGGCCACCACAGGCACCCTCCAACACAAATGACGTCATGCTGGCCACACCCCCTGGCCACCCCCTCCCTCCCCGAGGTCAAACATAACCCTGATGCGGCCCTCAGTGAAATCGAGTTTGACACCGCTAGTCTAGAGATTCTGATTTTTTTATTTTTTTTTTAATTTGATTTATATGCCGCCCTTCTCCGAAGACTCAGGGCGGCTTACAATGCGCTCAGCAATAGCCTTCATCCTTTTGTATATTTATACAAAGTCAGTTTATTGCCCCCACAAACTGGGTCCTCAATTTACCTGCCTTAGAAAGGATGGAAGGCTGAGTCAACCTTGAGCCTTGGCGAGATTCGAACCCTGCAGTAATTGCAGGCAGCTGGTCTTAATAACCAGCTTAATAACAGGGTGCCTTAAACCCCTGTACTACCAAGGCTCGTGATTGCGTGAAGGAGACTTATGCATAGGTTAGAAGAGGTGGTTTTCAGCCTAATATTTGTCAGGATAGGAGTTGGGGATATACCCCCTGTTCCAACTTCTATGTTAGAAAAAAAAGAATCTTGCCTGATGGTTACAGCCTCCATTCTCGTCCCCAGGTTCTGCGGAAACCCTTTACAACTCCGTCCACAAGAAAATCTTCACCCTTCCAGGTGATTGCCTGATCTATCCTGCCCACGACTACACAGGTGAGTTGGTGAGCGCTTTTTTTACTCTTTATTCTTTTTTTTTTTAATCTTGTAAGTTTAGTTTGCCTTAGATTTTGCTCTTTACGATCAACATTCTGAATTGGACACGGATACACCAGATTTATTATGGCGTGAGGCCTCGTGAACTAAAAACCGTAAAATTAGTGCGTATTCTATGCGTAATAACATCCATTCTCTTTTCTTTTCTGTTGTTCCAGGCCAGACGGTGTCAACGGTGGAGGAAGAACGAACTCTGAATCCTCGTCTGATCTTGTCTAAGGAGGGTTTCGTTGAACTTATGAACAATCTGAACCTACCCAAACCCAAAAAGATTGGTGAGACTGGCTTCTGTTTCTCAGAGAGAAAGAGAGGAGCAGAAGGGGGGGGGGTGTCCCTTCTGAACCATTATCTGCTCCATGTTAATGGCTCTTCTGGAAGAACCTCTAGATTAAAGGTAAAGGTAAAGGTTCCCCTTGCACATATGTGCTAGTTGTTCCTGACTCTAGGGGGCGGTGCTCATCTCCGTTTCAAAGCTGAAGAGCGAGCATTGTCCGAAGACGTCTCCATGGTCATGTGGCCGGCATGACTAAACGCCAAAGGCGCACGGAACACTGTTACCTTCCCACCAAAGGTGGTCCCTATTTTTCTGCTTGCATTTTTTTTTTTACATGCTTTCGAACTGCTAGTTGTTAGAAGCTGCGACAAGTAATGGGAGCTCGCCCCATTACGTGGTACTGGGGATTTGAACCGCTGAACTGCCAACCTTTCCAATCGGCAAGCTCAGCGTCTTAGCCACTGAGTCACCGCGTCCCTTAGACTAGAGTTCACCGCGTCACCTCTAGACTAGAGTTCAAAAAAAAAAAAAGAGTGGTGGAAATGTCGCGAAAGTCTTTGTAGAAGAAATTGTAGAACCGAAATCTTTCGCGACGAAAGGAATTGCTCTCCTGCAGCTGATTTCTAAATTATTAAAGGGTGCATATCTCGGTCTGCAATATGCTGAATCTGGAGAGTAAATTAAGTTATTTTCTGATTTGTAATTTTCTGATTATGTTGATTTCTGAGTGTGTTGAACCATAAACCAAACGTCTAGCTAGGCAGATGGACACACATACACACACTGTCTGTGTATATTGTGTGTGTATGCTCTCTCTCTCTTTCTTTCTCCCACATTTATCTACACACACAATATATATATATATATATGTACTGTATACACACACACAGACTGTATATATACATTGCATATACACATGCACAAAGTATATATGTTTGTGTATATTCCGTACCCACATCTCAGATAAATATTAACCCACTTTACCTACCACACAAATGCAGCTGTTTGCTTGTAACTGATCCACTTAAGGAGTTTACACAAATGCTGCTCCTAGCTTGCCAGACCCCCAAAACACAGTGGGGCTTCCTTCAGAATAAACACACATAAGCTGGGTCTTCCCCATAGCCAGGGGGATAAAAATGTCTCGTCCCAGATGTTGCTGGTCTGCAAATCTCTGTGTCCTTCGCAGGATCTAATAGCAATAGCACTTAGACTTATATACCACTTTACAGCCCTCTCTAAGTGGTTTACAGAGTCAGCCTATTGCCCCCAACAATTCAGCTCCTCATTTGACCCACCTTGGAAGGATGGAAGGCTGAGTCAACCTTGAGCCTGGTGAGATTCGAACTGTCAAATTGCAGGCAGTCGGCAGTCAGCAGAAATAGCCTGCAGTACCGCACTCTAACCACTGCGCCACCACGGCTCGTGCTAATGCTTCCATTCTCTTCTTTTTTCACAGACGTTGCAGTTCCCGCCAACCTCAAATGCGGAATTCAGGATGTACCTATTTAAGGGATGCCTCTTTTCTCAGGATCAACAATAATTCAGGGCAACTAAAAAGTCCCCCGTGTCACTTCTGCACTCTTGTGCAAGACACAAGTGAAGCCGCTAACAGTAAAAATGCAACTGTTCGCTTCCAGTTCTTGAACTGATTCCAAAACCAAGATGGAACCGCCTTATAACTCCAGTTTCCTTGCTTTAATTTAGTTATGTCTTCATTAGCAAATAGAGTGGCTGGCACTCCTGGCCTTCACCTCAGATCTGCAGTGCTTGGCTCTCAAGGCTGTTCTGCTTTGAGACTTGAGGCTCTCTTTCCTCCAACATCTGACGGACGTTCTTGGGCCGTGAATGACTGAAATTTAACAGAGCTGGCCGCCTTCGTCCAACAAAATAAAACACTTTTGTTTCTTAACCTTCTGGAATTCAACATCGGGGCAGGGAGGCTGGGAGGAGGGACCATAATGGTTAAGCCTGGGTTAGACTTGAGCACGCATGTCGGGGAACATATGTGTCACTAGCACGGATGACGTTACCTAGTTTGGGAATGAAACGTCTGCAAGAAAACAACCAAACTCAGAGAGCACCAAGGACTCCTCATTTCAATCTTGAGCTACAAATATTCTCCTTTATTGATACGCAGGTGTCTCTTGTCTGGAGGGTACTTCTGCAAATGTTAATGTTTTGGTTAGGGCAAGGGTGTCAAACTCAATTTCATTGAGGGCTGCATCAGGTCTGTGGTTGACCTTGGGGGTGTGTGTGGCCAACTGCATGGGCATGGCTAACTTGACACCACTCCCAAAACTGCTGGCATTTTTTTTTTTAATTTGATTTATATGCCGCCCTTCTCCGGAGACTCAGGGCGGCTTACAATGCGTTAAGCAATAGCCTTTCATACTTTGTATATTTATAAAAGTCAGCTTATTGCCCCCACAAACTGGGTCCTCAATTTACCTACCTTAGAAAGAATGGAAGGCTGAGTCAACCTTGAGCCTGGCGGGATTCGATCTTACTTTAATTGCAGACAGCTGGTGTTAATCACAATGCTATCAGTCTGCTGAGCCACCAGGCCCAGTGGCAAGAGGCATGTTTCCTCTTGCCACTGGGTAGGCCAGGCCGAAGCTACACTGGCCTGATCTTTCCTCTTTTTATTGGGTAGACCAGGACGGCCCCACAGGATAGATCTGGCCTGTGGGCCTTGAGTTTGACACCCATGGATGAGCTGCTGGGGGTTCGCAGGGGTTCGGGAGAACCTCTAGCTAAGATTCTGTGCAGTTCAGAGAACCCCCAAATCCCACTCTTGGCTGGCCTTGCCCACTCCTCCCCTCCCATGAGTCCCCATGCAGCTTGTTTTGGATGCAGGTAAGTGTAGGGCACGTGGGGATGCTCGGGGAGGGTGAAAAACGGGCCTACCGGAAGTTCAGCCTCCAGAGGGCCTCCGGAGCCTGGGGAGGCCATTTTCACCCTCCCGGAGGTTCAAAGAAAGCCTCAAGAGCCTGGGGAGGGCAAAAACTTCCCCCCCGCCGTGGTGCAGGCGGCCAACTAGGCCACGCCCACCACAGCCATGCCCACCCAGCAACCGGGTAGAGAACCCCTTGCTAAAATTTTTCAAGCCCACCCCTGGGCTAGGGGGTGCTCAAAAGACAAAGCACCGGAAATTTCCCAACAGGAAGTCAAATCAACCAATCAGCATGCAGGTCGCACATCTCCCCACAACGCATAGTTGAGATTTGGGAGGTCTGCCACCACCTGCAACCTACACTTTTTCACCCATCAACCAACCTCTTTGCAACGTAGGCCAGCGTCAACACCTACACGCACTTGCAGTCGTCCAAATCAAGGAGGAGGGAAGTGAATGGAACAGGATTTAAATGATTTTAGTAAAGTCACAATCCAGAGGTAGAGGAAGGGGTCACCGGCACGTTTCCTATTTTTTATTTAACTTTCCAATCATGTATGTATGTACGTATGTATGTATGTATTTATTTATTTCCATTGCAAAGATACTTAAGCAATGTATGCTCCCATCCAATTCAAATTCAAAGCCGGGTCATAAGTAGTTTCGGAGGACGTCTGTCATAACTGAACAGTCACTAAGCAAATGGTCATATGGTGAGGACTGTTGGTAGCTGGGTTTCCTAAGCCAGATTTCATGGAAATGGTGGACACAATATGAGTTCTCTCTAGGGTAAGATATCTTCTCTTGTTAGTGTGTGTGAATCATTTGGAATGGCGATAGCGGTGCCTGCTAGAAGAGCTGCAGTTTCAAGCGTTAACCTCCAGAGGGCAGGATTTGCACACTACAAATTCAATCAACTGGCAACAAAGCTGTTGTGTGCATTTCAAAAAAGTTTCATTCTCATCGATGGCTGAGGATGATGGAACATCAAGTGGAGAGCAGTAAAGAAAGCCGAAAAAAGACCAAGCTCCAAGTTGCAGGAGAAATGCCAAGATGATCCAGATATGAAGAAGTTCCAGGAACCTCAACAACTTCTCGTGTTTTAATTCAGCCACATCTATATCCATTCTGCGCAAGTGAATAGAACATATTCTCGCTGGAATTGGAAGCAACCCAATCCATCTTTAATTTTTTTTAAAAAAAATTATTGTTTTCAGTTTCAGAACAATCTCTCTGGAAGCAAGTATCTTATATAACTCCATCTTTCCCTCTGCCCCCCAAAAGTGGAAAACTGGAAAAAAAAGTCCAATTTTTTCAATGTTTTTTTCCCCAAATTCAAAGTTTTCCTTCCAGGCATCAATCCGTAGGTTGTAAAAAGCAGTTTTACTGATAGTCCTCGACTTACAACAGTTCGTTTAGTGACCGTTTGAAGTTTCAAGAGCACTGGCAAACGTGACTTTGGACCCTTTTTCAAACTTGTCACTGTTGTAGCCCCGCCCCCTCCATCGTCACATGATCAAAATTCAGACCCTTGGGCAACTGCCCTGTAGTTATGACGTGTCATGTGATCACCTTTTGTGGCCTTCTGATAATCAAAGTCAATGGGGAAGCCAGATTCACTTAACAACCTTCTTACTAACTTAACAGCTGCAGTGATTCAATTAACAACAAAGCAAGAAAGGTGGTAAAATGGGGCAAAACTCAATTGTCTTGCTGAGCAAGGGAAATTTTGGGCTCAATTGTGGTCGTAAGTCTGAGGAGTGCTCGTATGCTAGTGCTGCTATGATGGCTGGGAATAATGGGGGATGTAGTCTCAAATATCTGGAGGGCACTGGGTTGCTCTATATTTTTCATAGATGACATGAACCTTTATAAAACCTGTGCTGACTCTGGACTAGGTATAATCTTTGTTTTCCTCAAATGCTTGGACTTTCCTCCCAATTTTTTTTAGAGCATTGCTGGGACTAAAGTTTCTGTTATCACCAGTTTTACACTTTGTCCCTTGATTGTGTCCCTGACGTGATAGCTGTTCTGGGCCCTGTTTATGGGAAACACATCCTTGTTCCCTTTTCTTTTTATTTATATATTTTATTTATATATTTTTCTACAGCATACATTAGTGCTTAGTAAACAGTGTAATATCTGGGTCAATTTACATCATCATCATCATCATCATCATCTAATGGTAAAATATTATTTGTTTATACGTTATTAATTTGCTAAATTAATCCACTGGTCATTAGGTAAAAAATAAGACTTTCCTGTATCCAAAAAGTCATGGGAACATAAAGTGGAAAAAGTTATAGAAAATGAGAAGGTGAAGATCTTGTGGGACTTTCGAATACAGACGGATCGTCACTTGGATATCACAGTTGTCGAAAACCGAAATGTACAATTTATTGACATCGCGGTACCAGGAGATGCCAGAGTCGAAGAAAAAGAACTGGGAAAAAATCACGAAATATTGCGACCTGGCCATCGAAACTACACGGCTGTGGATGAAACCTGTAACAGTGATACCCATTGTCATCGGGGCACTTGGTACCATGTCCAAGAATTTTATAAGATACATCAGCAAAGTGTAGCTTCCTGCAATAACACCAGTGGAACTGCAAAAAACTGCGCTACTCGGAACATCGTACATCTTAAGAAGATCCTTGGTTGATCCCTAGGACGCTGGCAGCAACCCGTATCAACCATTAGCACCAGTCAATGGTATTTGTGATGCATTTTTAAATGTTCAGTTGACTGAGTTTCATGTTTAATGAATAAATAATAATGATGATGATGATAATAATAATAATAATAATAATAATAATAATAATAATAATAATAATAATGGTACAATATTATTTGTTTATACATTATTAATCATCTTTCAACTTCCAACTTCCACCTTGTTCCCTTTTCTGTGGTGTTTGTCAGAAGGTCGCAAAAGCAGATCACACGAACCCAGGACTCTGCAGCCGTCATAATTACGAATCAATTGCCAAGCCGGTGAATTTTGATCACGTCACAATGGGGATGCTGCAAGGGTTGTAAGTGTGAAAAATGACCCTGAGTCACATTTTTCGGTGCCGTTGTAACTTCAAATCGTCACTAAACGAACAGTTGTAAATCCAGGACTACCTGTGCTTAAAAATCTTTTTTAGATGTCGAAGGGGGCGAAACATCCTGTACCCCAGCCTGTCCCGTCCCTTCTTCCCAGCGAAGACTGAAGTTTCCCAAGGGAAGTGATAAAAGTCAGGTAAACACAGGGGAATCAAGACAGGATCAGACATGTTTTGATTGGCAGCCCAGCCAGGCTCACGTATGAGAAACTGCTTTTTCCCACAGGCCAGACAGTGAGATTGTGCTGTGTTTGTGCAATTTGCCAAGGGTGGTCTCTCCATGCCAAAGATGGGAAGATACTTCCCCACCACTTTATTTTTATCACGGGCCTGGAAGTCCCACAGGTGATCGTTCTGCAGAAGCTAAGCCGAGGGTAGAAGATGTGATCCACACCAGGGGTCCCCAACCTTTCGGACCTCAGGGACCACTAAATTCATAATTTTAAATCCTGCGAACCACTAATACGATCTGCCTAACGACCGGCTGGGTGGGCGTGGCTAGGTGGGGTGGTCGTGGCCAACTCGATGTCGCTCACGTCGAGGGGCGCCTTGCTGGCCTCTACTCGCCTCTCCCCTCCCAGCCACTCCTCGCCTCCCTGCCCGGGCTCCTTAGGGTCCCAACAGGAAGCAGTTGTTGGAGCTAAGCAGCCACCATGAGAAAGAGTTGGCAAAACAGCTCAGTTCAAATTGGATCTGACCGAGAAGGAGGCTCATCAGAAGCACCTCACTGAGGACTACGAGCATAGGCTTTCTAAGCAGAGGGAAGACCTGTGAGAGTGCAAGGCCAGGTACCGGCGCCTTTTGGGGATTTATCTGTACCTTCATGGTCCTCTGAATCGGCGTGCAAATGGGTGTGGAACCTTCTTGGGATTGGTGAAAGGGCACACGGTTCTATTCTCTACCATT